TTCCGTCTCTCCACATCCTCTTCTCCAGGAGGGAGTGAAGGAAACGAGAAAGGAAATGTGGGAATGAGAGGAGGCACGAAAGCAGGAGAAAAGGCTGTGAGAGGGATCAATGGGGGGGGTTGGGATTGAATCAATGAAATCCTACACAGGAAATAATTCTGGGCTTGGACCAATCAGACGGGGTGGAGCCACGAAAACAGTCTGAGGGGGACCGAAAGAATGTTTCTGCTCCGCAAGCGGTCATCTTCTGGTCTGCTCATCCTCAGACGTTCATCTGTGTGTGTGTGTGTGTGTGTGTGTGTGTCAGCTTCATGGTGCAACAAGAAGAAACGAGAGTGAGACAAAAGATTTCTGAGCAGCTGAAACTGAAACAGGCAGCGACCAAAAGTTTAAGACCACGCCTCCAAAAACAGAAATCAAGGTTCCACATGAAGTCAGTAACGGGTAGCTGCACCGGTGTCCGTGATCGCTGTGGCATGCTTGACTCAAGCGTCTTCATGAGGTGAGCGAGAACATTTCTCCAAGTGATGAAGACGCCTGCATGAAGGACTGCCTGGAACTGTTGTCGTTACCCCAAAGGTTCTCAGTGGGATTTAGACCAGGGGACAGGCAGGATGGCCCAAACGTCGCTTGTCCTGTGGACGTTGCGTCCTGTAGCGTCTACGAACCCAGAGGTGACCTCACAGACGAGGGCCTTCAGTCATGAGGGAAGCTCTCTCCAACATTTGTTTGGTGAATTTTAGTCAGACGTCTGATTTGAACGATGAACATTTGAGTTCAGCTTCAGACATTTTGTACATCAGCTGATGTTAGTGACCTTTTGGCCTGAAGATGAGGTGGAAAACACCTGGACATCAGCCATGACATCAGCAGCACATATGCTGACACACATCGCTCCACATCGGCATTGGCGATGGAAAAACCAATATTGTGAACCTCTGATAGGAACACATTTTAAACTCAGATCAGTCCTGTTTACAGCAGTCGTTCTCAACGCGCCAACAGGTCACAATAACCGTCTGGCTCCACGTAAGATGGTCAAGCTTTTCATCTCCAGCCTGAAACTTTCAGTCTTGAAGATTAAAAATGAATTCAGGAAGTGAGCCAGAGCTGGGGGTGGGGCCTGTGGCTGACCCACTGCAGTGTTAAGAGCCCCCCCCCATGTTAACTGAGGCGGTAGATGCTGAAAGCTTTAATGAAAGCATCACAACGCACTCAGGCTCTGCGGTGCAGATCACATCCATGAGCTCTCTCCTCGCCAGTTTCCACCCACCGGCGACCCTGAACTCCCACTGGCCTCGTTGCCAGAAACAACTCCATCATGTCTCAACATGAGAGCGTCTGAAGCCATTAGAGTACGCCCTCTACATCCTGCCACTGCATCAGCATCGGGGTCACTTCATGCTTCTGGAACGTTCTGCTGTGACTTCAGGTTGGACTACTTGAGCCGTCATCCCCAGCACCAGCAGGGCTCTTTAGGAGATGAGACATAAACATCTAATGGACTGATCAGATGTAATAAACCCCATCAGCTGACTGAGACAATCAGCAGTGAAGCTGCGGTTTCTGCTGCAGCAGCAAGATGGTAGAAGACCATTCTATGCTGCAGAAACTCCCTCGTTGTAGCTCTCCAATCTGGGGTGTGTCCATCCATCTGATGGTCTTCCAGGCTCCTGCTGAGTAGGACGGCTCTCCCATAGCACTTGCTGGTGGAACTGTCCAGCCAGCACTCCCCCCCCCCATGCTGCTGCTTCCTGAAAATGCACTTTTAAAGCACCTTAATTGCATTGGGGAGATAACCCTGTGGGCGAGAGGCAGGAAGCTTTAGCCATATAGTGCTTTGAGGGGCTGGACGGGTGGAGTGTGTGTGCAGTCCTGCCAGCTGTAATTGTCTTAATGCTTCCTGATGAGATGCCCAGACCTGCATTAGTCTCTGCATGACTCATTGATTTGACTCACACACACACACACACACACACACACACACACACACACACACACACACACACACAGATGCATTACTGCAGGATGCAGGAGCTGCAGACGTTTGGGTGCAAGGCTCACTGGCTCAAGCATGGCTGTGTGTGTGTGTGTGTGTGTGTGTGTACTTGTCTACATGTTAAAGTGGGCCTTTAACCTGTAACTTGTGGACATGTCCACAGTGCGGAGACATTTTGCTGGTCCACACAGCGTGGAGCTCCACATACTTGGTTTTAGAGGTGTGGGATGAAGGACTGTTAGTTAGGTTAGGGTTAGGAATACAACCCCACTGGTTATGGTTAGGGTATGGGTTAGGCAGAGTGCAGTCACTAACATGAATGGAAGTCAATGGAGGTCCGTAAAAGCACATAAGTACAAGTATGTGTGTGTCACTACCAGCTTTGGTGTTGGTGGGTGAATGGCTGGTTAGTGGTAAAGCACCTTGGGGGGTTAGGCGCTACATCTACTCTACACTGATTTCTTCCATCTTTCTGAAACTTGGTGCCCACCCTCCTCATCAGATGTGGTCATAAACCTCCCAGACGTGCAGGGTCTCGTGGCGGGTCGGTGGAGTCCTATTTCACGTAAACACCTCCGTGGGGCCACTGATGTCCAGATGACACCTCGCTTGAGGGTGTTTGTGTGAATCACACTCTTCAGCTTCATCAGTGTTTAAGTACTCCCATGATAAAGTGTCTTCTACATCATCGTGGTCACACAGAGACGGTGGTCGTTGGAGATTTGATCATCAGCTGGAATGAAGGTAAGACCAGAAATACTTTACCTGAACAGAAGGATCTTCTCTGTCCCGGGAACCAGACTCACCCTCAGATGGATGAATCCACCTACATCCTCCTGGCTGAACCAATCACAGACGTGTTTTCGTGCGTTTGTGTTGCAGAAGGAGGTGAGCGCCGTCTTTAGAAGTCTGGACTTGTGAGACAAAGTCTAGACATGGTGTGCGTGCGAGGTGCTGGTGAAGTCACACAAGGTCTGGGCTGCCTCAGGGCTGTAGTCACGGCTCCGTGTGAAGGATACGGGGGTGGCATGGCTGTCTGAGATGGAGGAGGGATGGGGAGACTCGAGGGGGATGCAGAGCCAGCTGGGGAGAGCCCAATACAGCGAGGGGGCAGAGGAAGAAGGGAGAGAAACCAGATAAGGAAAGCAGCACTGAGACCAAGAGTGAGAGAGAGAGAGACAGTCAGGAAAAGAGATAACTGAGGCGAGAGGCTGAATTTAATAAATTGGATCAGGCACCTCGAATGGTTTCCTAGCAACCAAGACGAGCCGAGCCTGGTCTGGGCTCCAGGGTAAAGGTCCTCCTCCTCGCTCACTTCTGGCTGCCTTTGTAGGTGTGCACACAAGAATGAGCGTCCTGTCGCTGTGACCCGACTGATCATGCGCCCTGGCTGCGTCGCCGAGGGGAGGTCCCTTTGGCTGACTGGTTAGCGAGCGTGACTCTCGCCCAGGAGTCTGGGGATCGACTCCCGCCCGGGCCCTCGCTTCTCCACCTGCCACACAAGTACAGCTCAGAGGTTTTCCTCAAGGAGTAGAAGCATCTTCGGCAGCGTCCGGTGGAACTCTGAGGTTTCACGCTTCATGGGGACGGGTGCATGGAAGCATCTGCAGTGGTGCGGAGCTGAACTGGTCTCTTGTGGCGAAGACGAGTTTTTCCCAAAGCGTGCTGATGAAGGTTCTGTCATCCAGGTCAGGGTGGTCCAAAGGGTTCCAGTGAAGGCAGCTGCACTTCTGTGGTTTCTAGAAGACGTTTCACTTCTCATCCGAGGAGCGTTGTCAACTACACACGAGCATGGCACAACCCAGGAGAGCCACCTCTGCAGGTCAGGACTCTGCAGTCCACCGACACCTGAAGGACAAGGGACACACCTTTGAAGAGGACTAAGTCCACATTCTGGACAGAGAAGACAGATGGTGTGAGAGAGAAGTAAAAGAAGCCATCTATGTCAAACGTGAAAAACCTACTTTAAATAGGGGCGGGGCTTAGATTTCACCTTTCCAGTACCTATGATGCAGCTTTGGATCTCGTTCCTAAGCAGCTTCAGTCTAGGTCACACCTTCCTGCATCTGATCAGCACAACGACTCATCAGGGGCTGGAGAGGAGGGGTACTCGGAGTAGTTTCTGCTGGTTAAACAACAACAGACAGCTACAGCTTGAGCTGGACTCTCCCATGTTCCAGTTAGAACTGACAAAGCTCCTTGGACGAGAAGAGAAACGTCTCCAAGAAACCAAAGAAGTCCAGCTGCCTTCATCTGAACCCTTTGGATGAAGATGAGTTAAACCCTAATTTACAAGATCTTCGTCCCAGTCCTCCCCTTTGGTCCTGCGGTGTGGGTAAAGATCCAAAGAACCAGACTGTGAACATGAAGCTGCGATCTGGACTGGGATAAGCGGGTACGCGGTCTTCTCCATCCCCAGTGAGTCGTGGAGGATGGCTGCTTATACTGAGCCAGGATTCTCTGGAGGTTTCTTCCTGTTAAAAGGGAGTTTTCCTCTCCACTGTCGCTGCATGCTTGCTTAGTATGAGGATTGCTGTAAAGACTCTGACACTAGTCAGTGACTCGATGCGACCTGCTGGGTTCCTTATATAGGATTGTATGGAAGTGTTTACTGTGTGAAGGTCATTGAGAGACTCTGGTCCTGATTTGACGCTTTATGAATAAACTTGAACTGAACAACTGATGGACCGGGTCGTTGTTCTGGGTCTGATTTAACCCGGAGCAGATCTGAACATGACCAGACTGGGAGAGCCAGGTGAGTCCAGCTGGTCTCGCTATTCTGTCACGAATGTCCTCTAATTATGAGACAAATGCTGGACATGAGCGAGGAGGAAGACTGTGGACATTAGAACAAGCATCAGCTTTGCACGTGAGTGCCCTCTGCTGGTAGAGATGTGGAACTACACAGAGCTGTCTGACCAACTCCATAAGAACAGGTTAAAGACTCGCACAGCCAAGACAGAGCAGCGGTAATCCCAGCCCCTTCAGAGGCCGAGTGGACAACGAGTCAAATAAAACTTTATTTAAACAAGCTGGACAAGCAGTACGTTTGCTGACCAGTTCTATAAAACCTAGATCAGACCGGAGTCACACACACACTTGCTGGCGGTGATGAGCTGCATAGGGGCACCGCTGTCAGAGGAGTTACGTGTCCGTCTCATAGCCAGAAGGTTGAGAGATCAAGTCCCTCTCACCCTGTCATAGTGCCCTTGGGCAAGACACGTCACCCCCCTTACCTGCTGGTGGTGGTCAGAAGGACCAGTGGCGTGTTTGGCAGTATGCTCCGGGGCATCATCACCGCCAGAGTGTGAATGTGTGTGTACTGAAGGGCCTTGGGGGGCTGCAGAACCCTAGAGGGAGTTCACCATCGCAGCCACAGTAGTAACGGTGTTCTATTGCAGCTGTAACTGTTCACCAGCGTGACGACCTCACACAAGACCTGAAACTGGAAAAACTCCTCCAGTTTGAATATTTAGGAAAACATCCGAATGAAAAAGTAAATATGTGAACTAAACATCACAGATGAGCCAGCAGGGGGCGACTCTTACAACACAAGTCACCGTCAGCCAGACTCAGGGTGGTGACTCGATTCCCGATCAGTTCTCTTAGTAACAGTCACCTAGAGCTTAGGCTAGAGAGTGTGTGTGTGTGTGTGTGTGTGTGTGTGTGTGTGTGTGTGTGTGTGTGTGTGTGTGTGTGTGTGTGTGTGGTTACACATAAACATCTCAGACTAATAAACAGCTTGTAGAACATCCTTAAACCATAAACCAGCGACACCGAACAGGAAGTAATCAGTCTGAACAACGTAAGCGTTACACGGCGCCGTTGGCATCAGACGGCAGACTAAACAGGACAGCGGCGTTCAAACATCACAGGGCAACAACAAAGCTAGGTGTGTGAAGCACCGCAACTGCAGCTAGTGCAGCTCCAGTAATGATGCATTCAGGGACGCTCGGAAATACGGCAGATTAAGACTTTCAGACAGGATGGATTTAGAATCTTTATGACTGAGTCAGCTAACGAACCTGTGGGTCCAAAACCATCCAGGCTGCTAGGAACTCAAGTGCTAACTGTTAAACTGGACCTTCGTCATGTCCTGGTGAACGAGTCACTATGAACAGTTCAATTTTCGTGTTCCTGAATAAAAACATCTCCGGTCTTTGTTCATTTGAGACATCCTGAGGTTCCACAGCAGCGGCTAACGTAGCGTGCAGCAGTCTAGCTCCCCTTCTTCTCCTGAGGCTCATTTCTGCTCCTGTCCACCTCCTCACACACGAGTAAAACTCGGTGGTTGAAGTCTTCAGGCTGGTCCGCGTACACGTAATGTCCAGCTCCACGCGTGGTCTGGAGGCACACAGGAGAACCCCAGCATCAACACCCGAGGTGACGGTTAAACCTTGTTAGACATACGAGTTTGATGGTCGACACAAACGGTGTTTATAAAGTTCTTCATGCTGAACCCGTCTCACGTTAGTACCTTCCAGAATGAGTCGCTTCAGAGCTCTGAAGGATGTTTGCTGCTCTCTGAGCCTCTTTTTAACAGGTGACACTTTGTTGGGGCTCACAATGACCCAGGAGCCCTGGTAAATGACCAAATACAACCCCATAACCAAGCCCCGCCTACTTAGCCTGGACACTAATCCTAAATGAGCTGCATGCTGATTGGCCAGTTCACCCTGAAGCTGTGTGTGTGCTGTAACACCTTCCTGCTGAAGGCTTTCTTTGGGACGTTGGCTTCCTGTGGTTGAACAGCCCCCCCCCCGGCGTTCCCTGAGCACACCTCTAACAAGCCAAACGTAAAACGTTCTCAAAAACCCACAGAACCATAAACTAGTCGACACTTTTTCACTAGCTGGTTAGAAACAGATGAACTAAGCTGAGACTTGCAGCCAAGAGGGCCAGAGACCTGGACAGAAGCATCCATCACACAAACTTACGATGACCTCCACGTGAGACGCGGGTCTCATCTGTCTGACGGCGCTGCCCGAGTTGCTGTCGATGCTGGAGCGGGAGCCGTAGATGACGGTGATGGGGATGGCGGGATGCAGCTGGTCCATCCTCGGCAGCAGCGGCCTCTTGGCACAGCCACAGGAACCGGTCATAGTCTTAAAGGCGGTTTCTCCACTGAGACCACAGAGGAACGGTTAGTGGACAGAGAAGATGAAGGTGGTGCTGCAGCAGCAAAGATCTGGTATTTCTGAAGAGGAAGCAGAAGAACCAGACCTGGGGGACTGCACATTGAGGTGATAGATGTAATCTGAAACTGTGTTGTCTGTGAACAGAGAGGAGAACTTCCTCTTGAAGTCGGGTCTCAGGGTCTGCACCAGCGCTGGACCTGCCAGGACCACGGCATCATTCACCTTCATCTAAGGAATTTTACTGTGTGCACCAGTTTCTGTCAGCGCTACTCTTACCCAGAGGTCCCACCAGTCTCAAGCCAGCCAAGGGGTTGAAGGGACTGAACATGGCCCCCAGGGCTTTGATCCAAGCTGGGATGGGCCGGTCAGCTTCTGTCATCTCCTGGGCTTCAGGAAGTCCCCACGGCTCCACCAGTATGAGATGTTTCACTCTGTAAAAGGAGGAGAAAAGGTGTTCCCTCAGTAAGGTGAAACATCCGTTAGTGGGAGCAGCGCCTGAACTCACCTGTGAGGATGCTTCATAGAATAGCACACAGCCAGGAAGCCTCCCAGGTTGTGGCCTAACAGGATCACAGATTCAAGGCCCACTTCTGCTCTCCACTGTTCAATAGACTCCACAAACTGATCCTCAGCTTCCCGGGGGTCTGTGGAGAACAAAGGTCTGGTGCTCTGGCCGAAGCCCAACATGTCCAGGGCAAAGACAGGCCGGTGCTGTGACAAAGCATCCAAGTTCTGTGCCCAAAAGCCCACGCCGCATCCAAATCCATGCAGCAGAACCACCGGAGTTTTGTCTTCAACAGCATCGCTGCAGAAGGTCAGCGTCCACAGACGGTTACCGTCAGAGATGGGGACAAACTGTCTGGTAAAAGCTGCCCTGATGCCTACACTCACACACACACACACACACACACACACACACACACACACACACACACACACACACACACACACACACAAGGAGACAGTCTGACGTGTCCAAACAACAAATAACAGATTCAGACCTCAAATCTCAGTCTCACACACACATGCATGCACACACACACACACGCACACACACACATGCAAACACACACACATGCAAACACACACACACACACATGCAAACACACACATACGCATGCACGCACTCAGAGGAGCAGTGTTCCTTACAATGCAGCATCCTCTCCTCTGCAGCCTGAAGCTGTTTCTGAGATGTAGGACACCATGGCGGCAACCAGCTGGGGACCCAGCACCACCTACACACACACACACACACACACACACACACACACACACACACACACACACACACACAATAATATATACAGTCTGACAGAGGTGAGGCTGCCCTTTTTGCACCATCAGCCTCTAAAACCACCGTTTAAATGTATTTGGTATAGAACCTTCTAGGGTTCTAAACCCCCCAAGGCACTTTACAACCCAACCAATCAGTCATCCATTCACACTTCACCTGCTCATGTAGTCTACGTAGCTCCACACGCTGCTGGCCAGACCACGAACGCCAACAGCTGATAACACTCTATGCACAGTCCTGCAAAGAGAAACTAAACGTGGATACGGACACTGACAGGAAGTAGTTATGACGACACATCAGCTGATCATCGTCGTCTTCCTAACTTCTACTGAACAGTTTACATCCTCAGAGAATGCCGAAAACACTCTAATGAAACTATGAACACATAAAAGATCTAACGTACTAATAATCCTAACCCTTTAGATAAGGAATAGCTCCATAACTCGAGTTCGAGTCATTTGATACTGGATGCATGAAAAGGAGGATAAAGAACACATCCGAGTTATCCTAAAAGTGTTTTTATTATTATGTTTTCATGTCTTTTCTTTGGTGCTCTGCACCACTCACTGAGGTGACTGGGAAGTCTGAAAATGTAGCTTAATTCACCAAGTCACCGGCTGCGGTAGAGGACCTGACTTTTCCCGTCTCCAAAACGTGCTAACGCAAGAATCAGCGTTGCGCACATTTTCCCGTCACATCTCTAAATGACTTATGAATCACAACGTTTGCGTAGAAAATAACGTACGCAGTCCCAGACCCGTTTTTTGCGTAAACAAGCTTTATAGACGAGGCCCCAGCACGTGGTTACCGAGTCACCCAACCGCTGACTAGTTCTACTAGTATGACTAGACGCTGCTAGCATATATGAGGGGTGTTAGGCTGAAACTCACCCGCTGCTAGCTACCGCAGCTTGCTCATCCATAGCTGAGACAGGTCCTCCGTCACGTGACCCAAATGATGCTGACGCACAGCTGCTCGGAAGCGCTTGTTTTGACTTTAAACTACTCCCGCCGGGCGGTACTACTGAAGTGACCCCGTGATTTCGTGTGTTGACCGCAGCGCCGTTCCTCTGCGTGAATAAAGGAGTGCATCCGGCCCGCAACTGCGGAAGCGGAGTTTCGCTCCTGGTCGGGTCGGACGCACTCGGAGTTGTGGTGAGTCGACATGATTCTAGACTGTGGCTCAACCTCGAACCAAGTTAAACATGACTTAGGCTCTCTGCTGATAATCGTCATGACGACGTCACGGGTCAATAACACACGCGTGAGCTGTTAGCTCGCTGCTCTGCCAACAACAGCTAACCCAACTAGTAACAGGTCCTGGTTCTTCTCAGAGGTTCTGCAGGCTTCCTGGTCACCTGAGTTCAGCTGCACTGTTTCTCATGTTCGTCCCTTTCAGGTCCTCAGCAGAGTTTGTTTGTTTGTGTTCAAACCCACATGAACAACCCAAGCATTAAAGCTAAAAGGCTGTGAGTCAGAGCGTGCTGGACCAATCATGTGGCTGGAAAAGAGCCATCCTCTTGGCTAGCCAGGGTCAGGGACTAGACCAGAGTAGTCACTGCTGTTTCTGTCCAGGTGCCGCAGCAGGTGACACGATGCAGCCTGCAGCTGTCAGCGGTGAGCCGGGCTTCGAGCCTCTGGTGGTGCTGGAGCTGGCCTCAGACATCAAGGAGGAAGCGGTGGTGTGGCTGCTGAGCAGGATCAGAGACCCACAGCAGAACGGAGGTGTGGGGCGGTCTGTCAGGTTCTCCCGTTTCCTACTTTCTCCATAGCTGAGAACGTTCTCTCCCCAGGAGCCGAGCTGCTGGTGGAGCATCTGGGGCCTGGAGTGAGACCTCAGGAAAAGGAAAACCCCAACTTGTTCCTGGTGGGGGCCTCCTGGCAGAGGTTACTGTCTGGTGCTGAAGACCTGGGTCTGTTTAAGGAGTACAGCGACGGGTCCATGAGAGGCTTCACCTGCTCCAACAAACACAACTTCAAAGACTTTACAGGTATTCGTTTCCCCGAGTACGGGCTTCAGAACAAGCAGCAGATGTTACACAGCAGCAGCGGACTAGGGTGCAGGAGCCTCTGGTGTCTCAGCTGTGGGTTTTAGCTGAGTGTTGTGACCTCCAGGGTGTGTCTCCTGCCTCCAGGTGATGGGGACAGCTTCCTCAGCATGGCTGAGTGTCAGCACATCATCAAACACGAGCTGGACACGCTGCGAGCCAGAGAGGAAACCCACGTTCCAGGATACCCCCAGGCTAAACTCTACCCCGGGAAGTCTATCAGTGAGTGTCCATCCACCCCGCCAATGGGACCGCACGTCTAATTCAGCCGTTCATCTATGCTTAAGATATGAACGAATGAAAGCACCGTGCTGTGTGTCCATCCTGTAGAAAGACCTTCACAGCAGGACATTTCTGTACATTTTAGACCCTGAGAGGGTTTTATTAGTGTTTGAGCTGATTCCCGATGTGGAAAACCAAACCGGATCTTCACAGCTTTCATAAAGAAACGGTGAGGAACCGGCTTTGGACTCTTTCTGGGACTAGATTAACGCCCTCCTTCCACTTGCTGCCCCTGCTGCAGAGACGGGTCGTCCCTGCTCTAGTCCCTGAGGGACCAGAGATGGTTTAGAGGAGAGATGTTTATTAATTACCAGTAACACATAATAACCCCCCCGCAGGTTTTATTTATGATGGGCGACCTCACTTTGATGTTTTAGTACGCAGGCTGCAGTCTAAGAGGATCCTGATCCAGATGTTCCCGCTGCACCATAAGGAGGAGCTTAAGAGACTTTCCTTTTCTTGGTATCAGAAAGTCCGCTTGTCTCTCCAGCCTCTGGGTAAGTGGACCATGTCTCCTCTTCTGCAGTAAAAATGCAACCTTGAGATGTTTTGCAGCCTGATCTCCGTTTCCTCCTCCAGACAGCATTAAACACTACTATGGTGAGGGTCAGGCTCTCTACTTTGGCTTTCTTGAGTACTTCACCTTTGCCCTGGTGCCCATGGCCTTGATTGGAGTGCCTTACTACCTGTTTGACTGGGAGGATTATGATAAATATGTCATCTTCGCCGTTTTCAACCTGGTCTGGTGCACGGTTATACTGGAGGTAGGGAAACCAGCTTCCTTACTACCTGCAGCTCCTGATCTTCTGTATCCGACTGTTTCCTGTAACGGTCTGGTTCTCTTGAACATTTAGAAAGTAATTAGGCTGAAAAGTTGTAAGTGTTAGCCTAGAAAGCCAGAGCACCCGGGCAGCAGAAGACGGCCACCTGCAGGTCGGTCTAGCTCCGCTCCGCTCCGGCCTCGGCAGGTCGCAGCGCTTTACGCTCATGAAGAGATTCCGTCTCGGGCTTTTCTTTGAGACGTGAGCAGATAGAGCTGCTTAAGTTGGTACTTCTTCAACGGTGTGTGATGGACTGCCCCGTTGTCGTGGCGATTAATATGTCACATGGTTTGTTGCTCTGATCAGTGCCAGTGCTGTCCAGTTGCACAGAGACCGTTTAGATTCCACCCCAGGACTGGGCTGCATCTGCGGGTTGTGGCTGGACTATAGATGGGGTGGGCTGCAGGAAGAGGTTTAAGGTAAAAGGCTCTACTGCCCCCGTAGGGGGGCTGATTACTCCTGGCTGCTTCTGTGACACAAGGCTTTCTTTGTTAGGCTAAACTATGATCATCTGTTGCAAGAGCGACTAAGACACACGTCTATATGATTATACTTCATATTTAAACTGTTTAGCTTGTGTTAAGCCTCACGTTCACCTTCATCCAGCCTCTGGTAGGAAAAGGAACCAGCTTAAAGTTTAAGTCACCCCCGTCCCTGAGTCCGACTCAACACACACTTATGGAGGGATTGCTGTAGTGCCGAGTATTGACCTGCAGAGAGCGCCGTAATGGTGGTTACCATGGTTACACAGTACACATGCAACTACACGTTTGCAGCACAGACACTGATTGATAGGGTTTCTCGTTTAGGGGTGACTAGGTCTTTAAGGCCTAACGGGTTAGGGTTGGTTGAAGCCGAGTAACACCTGACCTGTCCTACCAGCTATGGAAGAGACGCAGCGCCTCACTGGCCTACCAGTGGGGCACGTTGAGCAGGAAACAGGCCTTTGAAGAACCCCGCCCTGGGTTTCACGGTGTCCTTGGATTCAACCCTGTAACCGGCCGTGAGGAGCCCCTCTACTCCAATGCCAAGCGGCAGCTACGCATTTACCTGGTGTCCCTGCCCTTCGTCCTACTCTGCCTCTACCTGTCCCTCTACGTCATGATGGTCTACTTCCTGTTGGAGGGATGGGTGCTGTCCATCCATGATGAGAACCCCACCTTCTGGACAGGAGTGCTCCTGTTCATCCCCAGCGTCGCCTATGCTGTGGTCATAGAGGCGATGAACCTCATCTACAGATACGCTGCAGAGTTCCTCACAGAGTGGGGTGAGCAGCTTTCAGACACAAACCCTAAAGATTCAAAGGAGTCGCTTCTATTTCACTAGAATTTACTCTATTTCTGTTATTTTATTCTTTAAGAAAATCATCGTCTGGAGTCATCGTACCAGAATCACCTGGTCCTCAAAGTGTTGGTGGTGAGTAAATGTGGATTTCCTCGTGTCTCCTTACAGATTTCTGCCGTTTTGTCTTTGTCACATTTAAATATTTCAGATCAGACCAAGATCACCCGAGTAATCAAAGTTTTAGTTGGTTTAGAGCTGGTTGACAGGTTTATTAGTAGTTAGTAGGTTTTAAGGTAATACTTCTTTTACAGTCCCCTAATTACTAAGTACTTACATGGTAACTACATAGTAAGTTAAAGTGTATGATTGTGTAATTAAAGTGTATAACTAATAACGTGTAATTACTGTATAAAGCAGTATTTACTAGAATAAAAACTAAAATAATACCTGTTACATGGTAATAACAGTTGAAGAACTCAGAAACAATAATACACTTTAACTTACCAGCTCAGTGGCCTAGTGGTAGAGTGTCCGCCCTGAGACCGGGAGATCAGGGTTCGATTCCTGGTCGGGTTGGACCAAAGACTTTGAAAAAATGGGACCCAATGCCTCCCTGCTTGACACTCAGCATTAAGGGTTGGATTGGGGGTTAAACCACCAAATAGTTCCCGAGCGCGGCTGTGTCTGCAGCTCACCGCCCCCCCAGGGGACGGGTCACATGCGGAGAACAAATGTCGCACACACACATTAGTGTGTGTGACAACTAATGGGACTTTAACTATGTAACTACCATGTAAGTACTTAGTAATTAGGGGACTGTAAAAGAAAGCGTTATCGGTTTAAAGCTGGTTGACAGGTTTGTTGGTAGTTAGTTGGTTTAAAGCTGGTTGACAGGTTTGTTGGTAGTTAGTTGGTTTAAAGCTGGTTGTCAGGTTTGTTGGTAGTTAGTTGGTTTAAAGCCGGTTGACAGGTTTGTTGGTAGTTAGTTGGTTTAAAGCTGGTTGACAGGTTTGTTGGTAGTTAGTTGGTTTAAAGCCGGTTGACAGGTTTGTTGGTAGTTAGTTGGTTTAAAGCCGGGTGACAGGTTTGTTGGTAGTTAGTTGGTTTAAAGCTGGTTGACAGGTTTGTTGGTAGTTAGTTGGTTTAAAGCTGGTTGACAGGTTTGTTGGTAGTTAGTTGGTTTAAAGCTGGTTGACAGGTTTGTTGGTAGTTAGTTGGTTTAAAGCTGGTTGACAGGTTTGTTGGTAATTAGTTGGTTTAAAGCCGGTTGACAGGTTTGTTGGTAATTAGTTGGTTTAAAGCCGGGTGACAGGTTTGTTGGTAGTTAGTTGGTTTAAAGCTGGTTGACAGGTTTGTTGGTAGTTAGTTGGTTTAAAGCTGGTTGACAGGTTTGTTGGTAATTAGTTGGTTTAAAGCCGGGTGACAGGTTTGTTGGTAGTTAGTTGGTTTAAAGCTGGTTGACAGGTTTGTTGGTAGTTAGTTGGTTTAAAGCCAGTTGACAGGTTTGTTGGTAGTTAGTTGGTTTAAAGCTGGTTGACAGGTTTGTTTGTAATTAGTTGGTTTAAAGCCGGGTGACAGGTTTGTTGGTAGTTAGTTGGTTTAAAGCTGGTTGACAGGTTTGTTGGTAATTAGTTGGTTTAAAGCCGGGTGACAGGTTTGTTGGTAGTTAGTTGGTTTAAAGCTGGTTGACAGGTTTGTTGGTAGTTAGTTGGTTTAAAGCCGGGTGACAGGTTTGTTGGTAGTTAGTTGGTTTAAAGCTGGTTGACAGGTTTGTTGGTAGTTAGTTGGTTTAAAGCTGGTTAATAGGATTTCGGGTCAGTTATGTTTTCATAAAGCCATCCTTTAAAAGTTCAGGTTTGAGCTGAAACATCTACAGGACAGATAATGAAATACTTTCATCAGAGCAGGTTTTACTCATTGAAGGTTTTTCTGTTATTCTCTTCAGTACAACTTCTTCAACTGCTTTGCCTCCTTGTTCTACATCGCCTTTGTCATGCAGGACATGGTGCTGCTCAGGCAGGTTGGTCCACCTTCCAGTGTCTTCGTGAATTTGTTTCCTGTTTGAATTGTTGTTCCACATTTTCCTGCATCTGACTTCTTGTCCTGTTGATTTTGTCTTTCAGAGCCTGGCCACGTTGCTGATCACCAGTCAGATCTTAAACCAGTTCATGGAGGCATTCTTGCCCTACTGGCTTCAGAGGAGACGCAACAAGAAGATGGTTCGCAAAGTTCAGGGGAGAAGAGTTCTTGAGGACAAAGCGCTTCCTCTGGCAGAGCAGGTGCGGCTGGAGGCCGACATGAGCACGTACCTGGTAAGCAGACGAGTGTGTTGTAGGTTGTTGTGTTTGGTGTTGGTCCATCTGGAGCTGTCGTCGTCTCTCAGGGCACGTTTGATGACTACCTGGAGCTGTTCCTGTTGTTTGGTTACGTCAGCCTGTTCTCCTGCGTCTACCCTCTGGCTGCGGTCTTGGTGGTGTTGAACAACATCACCGAGGTTTACTCTGATGCCTTCAAGATGTGTCACGTGTTCAAAAGACCCTTCGCTGACCCGGCTGCTAACATCGGAGTCTGGCAGGTGAGAAGTTTCATCGAGCTACTGCCAAAAGGAAGTTGGTGTTAACTCGGGCGAATCCATAAAGCACGGCCAAAAGAAAACGTTTCTGCACACTAACCCCCAAATTCCACTACCTCCGCTCCGACACGAACACCGGAGCAAAATCGGTCCCGTTGTAGTCAATCAGAGCAATTCCACTACCGCGGCCGTGCTCCGGCAGTGCGGCGCCGTGTGCCGCCCTCTGTTCCGGCGTCCGGCAAAAATAGAATCGATCCTATTTTCGCCGGACGCCGGAGCACCTCCGCAGTAAATGGACAGAAATCACAACGGCCCAACAGGAAAAGGAGCAAGCACAATTTCTGTTTTTCACAATAAATCGATAAACAAAAGGCGTTTTTTGTTTCATATGCACAGGTTTAACAACTTTTAACAACTATCAATGGCGGCTGAAGTTTAAATGCACAAAAGTAAGCCATAAATACAGTTTCCACTATCAAAGTAGTCACCCTTTGTTGATCCAAACACTGCTGATCTCTCAACACAAATGATGGACAGATTAAACAGTTCATGCCGATGCTTCTCCCACACAACGGGTGTTTGGATCTAACTTCCGCGTTTATTGCTCGGACTGTATCGCAAGATCTCGAAAATCCCGCACATGCCTGTTTGCCCCCCTCAGGTCTCCGCACCGGAGCGGAGCCGTTGTAGAGCGGGTACCAGTAAAAACTGAGTTCGGAAGCGAGCGGCTGCGGAAGGCGGGGGCGGACCGGAGCGGAGCGGAGGTAGTGGAATTTGGGGGTTAGAGGAGCTCACAACCAAAAGTCTAGATGAAGTTAGAACATGACGGGTATGCTACTCGTGTGTCTGAGCATCAGCTGTGAATCTGTGTGACTGAAATAAGTAAAACCACCAAGTGGTTAGCACCAGTGTGCAGCCCTAGTGTTGCCTTACAGCAAGAAGGTCCTGGGTTTGAATGTCGGCCTGCATGGAGTTTGCATGTTCATGTGCAGGTTCTCTCTGGTCCAGAAATATGGCCGTCGGGTTGGTCGTGCTCTCTGAGTTATCCTGAGGTGTGTGTGTGTGTCTGTTGTCCTGTGACGGACTGGCCTTCTGTCCGGGGTGTACCCCTCCTGTTTGCACAGACCACTGGAGATGGGCCCCAGTGGGTCTAGACAATGGATGGAAGGATTTCACCAAGTTTTATTAAAGTGATGAGGAACAAACGGTCAGCTGGTTTCCACCTGGTGGTGACTTGTGGCGTGGCAGACCAGGAGTGGTCCATCTTTTTAAGAGGGGGACTAGAGTGTGTTCCAGTCATAGGCGATCACACCACTCTGGAAAGGTGTACTCCAGGGCACCTAACCCGAACCAAAGGCCATGAAACTATGGGCCAACTTCAGAATGAGCAACTGGACTATAGTTAAAGTCCCATTAGTCATCACACCTGAGCCATCCCCGTGGGGAGTGGTGAGCTGCTGCTGTGGACGCTCTTGGGAACTATTTGGTGGTTTAACCCCCCCAATCCAACCACTTAAACTGAGTGTCAAGAGGGAAGTCTTTGGTATGACCTGACCGGGATTTGAACCCAGAGCAGACACTCTACCGCTAGGCCACTGAGGTCATTAGATGTGTTATTTACGGACCCTTAAGGCGGGCATACGCTGACTCTTTCATGCGTTGAATTCAGCTCCATGTCGAAGCTCTCGAGTCATGTCCTCACACTGTACGCGTGGTAGCAACAGGTCAGAACTTCCTGTCAGAAGACCCGGAGGTCATGTCTGGCACAAGACTCGCCCCGACCTCAGAGATCCTCACACAAGAGGCAAATCGGCTCAGACTGGGCCAAGCATCACGGCGTACGGCCGGCTTTGCGTTGGGCCACTAGGGGAGTATGGGGTGGAGGGCATGACCTCTGTTGAGGGCCGTTCATTTCCTGTACAAAGATGGTGGGAATGGGAGTGTTAGCCGGACGTTGTTCAGTTCTTTCTCTCAATGGACAAAATTTCTTGGTGCACCCATTGGTGGAGGGTGTTGGGTTTGGTGGCAGCAAGATCTCCTTTGGGCTCCATCACTGACTTTCAGCTCATGCTTGGATGAGAATCAGCATCTCCAAATCCAAGGCCATGGGTCCACTTTGGAAAAAGTGGAGGAGTTTAGGTGTCTGGGTCTTGATCTTGACCGAGGGAAGGAGGGAGCGGGAGATCGACAGGCAGACTGGCGTGACAGAAACTTTGGAATGATTGAAATTCAAACAAGGACCGGTTATCTTTGACTGATATAGCAGAGCTTGTGCTTTTGGAACATCTGGGTTAGTTACCAGGACCACTAGAACACAGAGCAGCTGAGGAGGTGGTGAGATGGCCAAATAGAAACTTCGTTATAAATGTCCAGATACTTCTGTTTATGTGTCATCGTAGTCTGCTCTAACAGGTTTTAGGTCATGTTTATGTTTTCAGGAAACAAGCCAGCGTTTGATTTGTTTCTGAGTTTTTCTCCAGCTCGCCTTTGAGGCCATGAGTGTGATCGCTGTCGTCACCAACTGTGCTCTGATCGGCATGTCTCCACAAGTCAGAGCGTACTTCCCCCACTCGGAGACCCAGCTCATACTGTGGACGGTGGCTGTTGAGGTCACACACACACACACACACACACACACACACACACACACACACACACACACACACACACACACACACACACACACACACACACACACACACACACACACACTCTGTCTTTTGATGATCACATGAATCCTGTATCTGGACTAAAGACCGATAACCTTGTGCTTTCAGCACGGACTGCTGGCTCTCAAGTTCATCCTGACCTTCCTCATCCCAGATGTTCCCAAACACATCCAGATCAAACTGGCCCGCATCGAGTTTGAATCTCTGGAGGCCCTGAAGAAAAAGGTTTGCTTGTTTGTCTTGGGTTAGGGTTAGGGGAGTGAATCCATGAAGTAAACTCGGAGCAGCAGCTCTGGTAGTGTGCCATGTACTCTACACCCCCACAACAACACACACTCAGCCAGTCCTACCTTTGTTCTCGTCCGTCTAGAGAAAGTGCTAAATAAATGAATACAGGAGTCCAGCTCTGAGAACCGGAGCGGTCCTTAAGCTTCTGCGTGTTCGGTTCTTTGGTCTGTTGGTTCTGCAGAAGCAGCTCCATGGGGGCGAGTAGAGCGCCGGTAGCTCGGCTACGTGGATAGCTAACGGTTGAACTCACCGCTGTCTGCAGCTCGCTGAACCTTTGAGGAGTTAAACAGAAAGGTTGTTGGTCTGAAACCAAGCTGTCCTCCTAAAGGCAAGGCATCTCTCCGCGGCTCAGGGAATCTGGTTTCTAGACCTCTCCGTTACCATGGTTTCCCCTGAGCACACTTAGTTTATAATGCAGGTGTGCTGCTGAGTGTGAGTCTGTTATGGGGCTGCTTCCCCCTGTAGAGAGTAGGTAGCTACGGCCCTGTCTCAGGATTTAAACACCAAATGTTTGTTTGTGTTTCAGAAAATGCTGGAAGCCTCTGAGCCGAGTAAGACGGTCCTGTGCTGAGTCCACCTCAGAACGTCATCGTCCTCCTGCTTCTGCTGCTGTTTTATTTGATTTTAATGCACTGGTTCTGTTGGGTTCATGTGTGGTGGCTAAACGGGCCGAGTGTTCAAGCCAAACCGGGATGCTGCAAACATAAGTTACTGTAAGAAGTTGGTGTCTAACCTTCGGGTTGTGTGGCCGCACCAGGAAATCAGCTTTAATCTCATGGAGACTTACTAATGGGTTCTCCTCCCTCTGTGTGGGCGGGGCCTGTGACCTGAGCGTGATGTCAGTGAAGACCTCTGCAGGGTTGGAACTACACACTCCTTAAACACCTGCGTGCCTTGAAGCATAATCCAACACTTGTTTTCTATAATCTAAGCTGTTTCAGTTAAAATATCAGGAATGTGCAACAGGACCTTAAATAAAGCCCTGGAACAGGAACTGTGTGTTTTGCTGCTTGCTGCTGCTCAGCGCTCACGTTTGGACCCGGATCCCCTCCGAGTGCAGCTGGTCAGCTGACCTGGGAGCAGCTGGGTGACTCGAGTTGTCGTGTCCTGCACAGCTTTGATCACCTTTGACTGATCTGGATTCTGCTGACTCAGGGCTTCTAGCCCTTCAGAATAAAAGTCTGAACATGAAAAAAAGAGTCAACTGTAAATCAAACCAGCTGGGTTTAAACCTGCTTGGTCTGAACAAACCTGGTCCTGGAACAGAACCAGATCAGACTCTGAACTTCTGACCTGTTAAGCTGCAGGTCTGAATTCTTGAGCCCTGATTGGAGGAGCATTCATCTCACCACCTTTGCTAATCCTCACCCTGTCATCGACCTCATCTCCATCTCTGCCTTGCCTCAGTCATTCAACAGGACCTGGACCAGGATCAGGCGGATTCTCCCAAGTCCTAAAAATGTTTAAATGTGATATTGATCATTAAAGGGACTCGAAAATATTGCTTAGAATACAAGTTTTAGTTGGAAGCTAGAAAATGAAAAAAGCTTTAAGCTGCATCTGCAGGAGTTGTGGGCTCCAACCGGGTCTGAGGAACCTGCAGCCATACCCACCCGTCAAGGAGGCTTCAAGTCCAGGTCTAGTCTTGGGCTGGTAGGAGCGGGTCCTCTAGTCTTCAGCTGGTAGGAGCGGGTCCTCTAGTCTTGGGCTGGTAGGAGCGGGTCCTCTAGTCTTCAGCTGGTAGGAGCGGGTCCTCTAGTCTTGGGCTGGTAGGAGCGGGTCCTCTAGTCTTGGGCTGGTAGGAGCGGGTCCTCTAGTCTTCGGCTGGTAGGAGCGGGTCCTCTAGTCTTGGGCTGGTAGGAGCGGGTCCCCTAGTCTTGGGCTGGTAGGAGCGGGTCCCCTAGTCTTGGGCTGGTAGGAGCGGGTCCCCTAGTCTTGGGCTGGTAGGAGCGGGTCCCCTAGTCTTGGGCTGGTAGGAGCGGGTCCTCTAGTCTTGGGCTGGTAGGAGCGGGTCCTCTAGTCTTGGGCTGGTAGGAGCGGGTCCTCTAGTCTTGGGCTGGTAGGAGCGGGTCCTCTAGTCTTGGGCTGGTAGGAGCGGGTCCTCTAGTCTTGGGCTGGTAGGAGCGGGTCCTCTAGTCTTGGGCTGGTAGGAGCGGGTCCTCTAGTCTTCGGCTGGTAGGAGCGGGTCCTCTAGTCTTCGGCTGGTAGGAGCGGGTCCTCTAGTCTTCGGCTGGTAGGAGCGGGTCCTCTAGTCTTCGGCTGGTAGGAGCGGGTCCTCTAGTTTTCGGCTGGTAGGAGCGGGTCCTCTAGTTTTCGGCTGGTAGGAGCGGGTCCTCTAGTCTTGGGCTGGTAGGAGCGGGTCCTCTAGTCTTCGGCTGGTAGGAGCGGGTCCTCTAGTCTTCGGCTGGTAGGAGCGGGTCCTCTAGTCTTCGGCTGGTAGGAGCGGGTCCTCTAGTCTTCGGCTGGTAGGAGCGGGTCCTCTAGTCTTCGGCTGGTAGGAGCGGGTCCTCTAGTCTTCGGCTGGTAGGAGCGGGTCCTCTAGTTTTCGGCTGGTAGGAGCGGGTCCTCTAGTTTTCGGCTGGTAGGAGCGGGTCCTCTAGTCTTCGGCTGGTAGGAGCGGGTCCTCTAGTCTTCGGCTGGTAGGAGCGGGTCCTCTAGTTTTCGGCTGGTAGGAGCGGGTCCTCTAGTTTTCGGCTGGTAGGAGCGGGTCCTCTAGTTTTCGGCTGGTAGGAGCGGGTCCTCTAGTTTTCGGCTGGTAGGAGCGGGTCCTCTAGTCTTCGGCTGGTAGGAGCGGGTCCTCTAGTCTTCGGCTGGTAGGAGCGGGTCCTCTAGTTTTCGGCTGGTAGGAGCGGGTCCTCTAGTTTTCGGCTGGTAGGAGCGGGTCCTCTAGTCTTCGGCTGGTAGGAGCGGGTCCTCTAGTCTTCGGCTGGTAGGAGCGGGTCCTCTAGTTTTCGGCTGGTAGGAGCGGGTCCTCTAGTTTTCGGCTGGTAGGAGCGGGTCCTCTAGTTTTCGGCTGGTAGGAGCGGGTCCTCTAGTTTTCGGCTGGTAGGAGCGGGTCCTCTAGTTTTCGGCTGGTAGGAGCGGGTCCTCTAGTCTTCGGCTGGTAGGAGCGGGTCCTCTAGTTTTCGGCTGGTAGGAGCGGGTCCTCTAGTTTTCGGCTGGTAGGAGCGGGTCCTCTAGTTTTCGGCTGGTAGGAGCGGGTCCTCTAGTCTTCGGCTGGTAGGAGCGGGTCCTCTAGTCTTCGGCTGGTAGGAGCGGGTCCTCTAGTCTTCGGCTGGTAGGAGCGGGTCCTCTAGTTTTCGGCTGGTAGGAGCGAGTCCTCTAGTCTTCGGCTGGTAGGAGCGGGTCCTCTAGTTTTCGGCTGGTAGGAGCGGGTCCTCTAGTCTTCGGCTGGTAGGAGCGGGTCCTCTAGTCTTCGGCTGGTAGGAGCGGGTCCTCTAGTCTTCGGCTGGTAGGAGCGGGTCCTCTAGTTTTCGGCTGGTAGGAGCGGGTCCTCTAGTTTTCGGCTGGTAGGAGCGGGTCCTCTAGTTTTCGGCTGGTAGGAGCGGGTCCTCTAGTTTTCGGCTGGTAGGAGCGGGTCCTCTAGTTTTCGGCTGGTAGGAGCGGGTCCTCTAGTCTTCGGCTGGTAGGAGCGGGTCCTCTAGTCTTCGGCTGGTAGGAGCGAGTCCTCTAGTTTTCGGCTGGTAGGAGCGGGTCCTCTAGTTTTCGGCTGGTAGGAGCGGGTCCTCTAGTTTTCGGCTGGTAGGAGCGGGTCCTCTAGTTTTCGGCTGGTAGGAGCGGGTCCTCTAGTCTTCGGCTGGTAGGAGCGGGTCCTCTAGTCTTCGGCTGGTAGGAGCGAGTCCTCTAGTTTTCGGCTGGTAGGAGCGGGTCCTCTAGTTTTCGGCTGGTAGGAGCGGGTCCTCTAGTTTTCGGCTGGTAGGAGCGGGTCCTCTAGTCTTCGGCTGGTAGGAGCGGGTCCTCTAGTCTTCGGCTGGTAGGAGCGAGTCCTCTAGTCTTCGGCTGGTAGGAGCGGGTCCTCTAGTCTTGGGCTGGTAGGAGCGGGTCCTCTAGTCTTCGGCTGGTAGGAGCGGGTCCTCTAGTTTTCGGCTGGTAGGAGCGAGTCCTCTAGTCTTCGGCTGGTAGGAGCGGGTCCTCTAGTCTTGGGCTGGTAGGAGCGGGTCCTCTAGTCTTGGGCTGGTAGGAGCGGGTCCTCTAGTTTTCGGCTGGTAGGAGCGGGTCCTCTAGTTTTCGGCTGGTAGGAGCGGGTCCTCTAGTCTTCGGCTGGTAGGAGCGAGTCCTCTAGTTTTCGGCTGGTAGGAGCGGGTCCTCTAGTTTTCGGCTGGTAGGAGCGGGTCCTCTAGTCTTCGGCTGGTAGGAGCGGGTCCTCTAGTCTTGGGCTGGTAGGAGCGGGTCCTCTAGTCTTGGGCTGGTAGGAGCGAGTCCTCTAGTCTTCGGCTGGTAGGAGCGGGTCCTCTAGTCTTCGGCTGGTAGGAGCGGGTCCTCTAGTTTTCGGCTGGTAGGAGCGGGTCCTCTAGTCTTCGGCTGGTAGGAGCGGGTCCTCTAGTCTTCGGCTGGTAGGAGCGAGTCCTCTAGTTTTCGGCTGGTAGGAGCGGATCCTCTAGTTTTCGGCTGGTAGGAGCGGGTCCTCTAGTCTTCGGCTGGTAGGAGCGGGTCCTCTAGTTTTCGGCTGGTAGGAGCGAGTCCTCTAGTTTTCGGCTGGTAGGAGCGAGTCCTCTAGTCTTCGGCTGGTAGGAGCGGGTCCTCTAGTCTTGGGCTGGTAGGAGCGGGTCCTCTAGTCTTCGGCTGGTAGGAGCGGGTCCTCTAGTTTTCGGCTGGTAGGAGCGGGTCCTCTAGTTTTCGGCTGGTAGGAGCGGGTCCTCTAGTTTTCGGCTGGTAGGAGCGGGTCCTCTAGTTTTCGGCTGGTAGGAGCGGGTCCTCTAGTCTTCGGCTGGTAGGAGCGGGTCCTCTAGTCTTGGGCTGGTAGGAGCGGGTCCTCTAGTCTTGGGCTGGTAGGAGCGAGTCCTCTAGTCTTCGGCTGGTAGGAGCGGGTCCTCTAGTCTTCGGCTGGTAGGAGCGGGTCCTCTAGTTTTCGGCTGGTAGGAGCGGGTCCTCTAGTCTTCGGCTGGTAGGAGCGGGTCCTCTAGTCTTCGGCTGGTAGGAGCGAGTCCTCTAGTTTTCGGCTGGTAGGAGCGAGTCCTCTAGTTTTCGGCTGGTAGGAGCGGGTCCTCTAGTCTTCGGCTGGTAGGAGCGGGTCCTCTAGTCTTCGGCTGGTAGGAGCGGGTCCTCTAGTTTTCGGCTGGTAGGAGCGAGTCCTCTGGTCTTCGGCTGGTAGGAGCGAGTCCTCTAGTCTTCGGCTGGTAGGAGCGAGTCCTCTGGTCTTCGGCTGGTAGGAGCGAGTCCTCTAGTCTTGGGCTGGTAGGAGCGGGTCCTCTAGTTTTCGGCTGGTAGGAGCGGGTCCTCTAGTTTTCGGCTGGTAGGAGCGGGTCCTCTAGTCTTCGGCTGGTAGGAGCGGGTCCTCTAGTCTTCGGCTGGTAGGAGCGGGTCCTCTAGTCTTCGGCTGGTAGGAGCGGGTCCTCTAGTCTTCAGCTACTAAGCAGCACTGTGAGTACCATGCATCTTCTCAACAGGCACAAGGTGTGCTGGGATGCAGATAGCAGGACACACCTGCGTCAAACCTTCTCTAGGGTTAGGGTTCGGTGTAAGTGTGTTTTTGTTCTACTGGTGGACAGAAGACATGGAGCAAAAGCATGAGACAGTGTTGCATTTATATTTGGATATTAACATAGCTATATGTAATGTCTGACAACAGATAACTACAGAATATTACACTGAAGTTTTGTTCCATCCCTACTCTTCTCCTGTTACCATTTGGTCCAATAAAAGGTCTGCGGTTGATTCTCTGCTCGTTCTGCCAGCGAGCACAAACACATGCACATGATTCACCTGGATACAGCCGAGTTAGACAACAGTGCAGAGGACCCGGAGGTACGAAGGAAAACTTCTAGTTGTAGCCGACATCCACTCAGTATTACTAATAATAATGATAAGGCTAGGTTTACTGTACAGCTATGCACTGAGACCAGCGATGGAGAGAGAGCGACATATTTACAACTATTTACATTTGGTTCTTAAAGAAATCTCAAACAAAAACATTAAAATATTCTTTTTGTCCCTTTCGAGTTCGAAGAAGCCACACAGAGGCTGAAAGTATTCGGAATAAAATAAAAGATGAAGCGAAAGAAAGACGTTTCTGTACAGTTAGCTGCAACACACGCTTTAGCTTATTGCCAATGCCCTTTAAAATATTACCCACAATTCCACTCTCCTCACTCATCTGCATCATCAGCTCGCACGCACACACACTAGGGGTTGCACGACTTAATATTTTTAAAAGTCGAGAGTCAAGTAATGAAAATCGAGTCGACTTCGACTAGTCGTTGATGACGTCATACACCTGAAGCGGGGGGGGGGGGGGGGGGGGGTTGTCAGTTGGTTCGCTGGAGTTTTTGACAATTAAAATTGCGCCCACATTTCCAAAGTTAAACACATTTCTTTTAACAACGGTAGTTTCTGCTTCAGCCCTCTCCCCCCTCCCCCTGCTTCAGCCCCCTCCCCCTGCGCAGCGGCCGCAAACTCACTGATGCGCCTGCAGCCTCTCGGAGTTCCTGCTGCTCTAAACATTAAAATAATTATTTCATTTTCTGTTCCTCACTTCTGATTACCTTCAGTGGTGTCTGTTTGTTGCAACCAGCAGGTACAAAAACTAACTTGTTTTTATTTGACTATTTTTCTGTCCTGCCTGTTTATTATCTTCCTGCATCTCCTCTCAGTCCTAAAGAAAAACTGCTGCCTGGGTTCATATATATTCACCTCATGAGTTACCTTTGAACTGCAGTTCTAAAACATCTACCGACCGCAAAAACAGCGGAGTGCTGCTGCTTGCCGGCCACACCAATGAGGTAAAGTCACCAAAGGAGAAAACAGGTGATGCACCCCGCTCCACAGCAGCGGGACGCATCAGGCACAAATAAAAGAATAAAAGACAGAAAACATGAAAGGAAATGAGCCGACATCAACGATCGCGTGTTAAATTAGTTTTTGAGATGGCGACACCTGATGTGATGATGTTACTGTAGCCGTGCTCAGGACGCAGATGTCTGGAGCGCGTCAACTATCAGAGCTTTGCATGTGCAAGCTGGTTAAGGTTAGGATGGGGGTGAGGAGAAGGTTAAATTGCAAGAGGGTAAAGGTCACAATTTGGTTAAATGTCCGTTTTACGGCGGGTGTCAGTACCGACGCTCTGGCACAGCGCCTCGCCTCCGCCTCGATCCCGACGTGCAGGAGCTCGTCACCTGCTGTCTTTTCCGAGGAATGCATCTTGTCATTATCACGTGACAGCGACTAGTCGATGACAGGCATAAGGAGTCACTACAGAGCCGTGAGGTCGACTAGTCCATACAACCCCTAACACACACGCGTACACACACACACGCACACACACACACACACTCACGCACAGCTAATGCTCTAAACAGCATTGATGAATAAAATCAGCTTATCTTAGCAGAACGCCTCATCGCTACAGTATCGACACTAAGATGCTCCTTAATACACACACCTCCTGGTTTGACTCGACGTGAAGCTGCTTCAGTGAAAACACACACACACACACACAGAGCAGGTGGGATGGTGTCCTTTCATGACCTGGATGACTGAGAACCTTCACCAGCAGCTCATGCCGGAGGTTCAGCTGAGGCTCGCCCCCCAGAGTGTGTGAGGTTGTGACCGAAAGGTCAAGAGGAGGAAATGAAGTCATGTTGGGAAAAGGTTCATGCAGGAGGTCAGAGTTCTACATTCATGATGGAGCGGACAGGAAGAACGACGCTACGCTTCTTCTGGTTTCTACTTTTAACCGTAAATGGTTTAAGTCCGGATCTGTGGCCTGGGGTCAAAACCGGTTCAGACCGGTTCCAGTGGGCTTCAGCTGTATGGAGCGGTTCTAGTGCAGCGACGCGACAGGACCACTCCAAACAGGATTCCACTTTTAGAACAACTGGTCTCTCAGTAACACACGGCTTCACAAGTGGTCCGAACCCTCGGAACTGAAAGGTCAAAGTGCAGCCGAGAATCTGGAAGGGTGGAGTCAGATGACCTGGCAACAGCTGGCGGGGGCGGAGCTACAGAGCAGCCCGTCTCTGCTGCCCCCCTGGATGTTAACAGAGATGGTCTTCTCACACAGAGGTAGCTGCAGCACTCCGCTCTTCAGGGCGCTCAGGTTGCTGCTAACGTCTCTGACGGGGGGTCCAGTCTGCAGGCTGGGGGGGCCGTGAGGCGCCGCTCTGCCATGGTGGGGGTGTAGCGTGGCGCCGGTGGGGAGTGTGATAGAGTCCAGGCTCCCAGTGGAGCCGATGCACATCCTCCAGGTGGACTTTTCCTGAATTTTCACGCTGCGGGGGTCTACAAGGAACTTGGCCCCTCCCTCTGCTGCTCGCCCCCCCCGCCCGGTGCGGTGGTGCTGCAGCTGGGAGCTGAGGCAAAGACTGATCAGCTTGAGACTCTCCACCAGCTCCACGCCGCGGCTGGCCGTGCGCGAGGGCCGAGACAGCGAGCTGAGGGAGGGCGTGGAGGTGCTGCTGTTGTTGCAACAGCTGGAGGGGCTGTCCTGTCCTCCCCCCGCCCCACTTCCCCCTCCTCCTCCCCCTCCTCCTCCACTACCTCCTGCACTGTCCCTGTCAGGCCCCGAGGAGCCCCCTCCCTCTGAGGGGGGTCTCCCCTGGCCCGAGCTGCTGCCTCCCCCGTTCCCCCCCTCGCTGCCGGGCGGCCCCTCGCTGCTGTCCCTCCGGTTCCAGCTGTAGCTGAAGCCCGAGTCCTTGTCCAGCCTCCTCCGGTGGCTCTCCGAGTCATCGTCGCTGGTCTCTGAGCTGGAGCACGACGAGCCTCTCCCCTGGCTCTTGCGTCGATGGTAGCGTTTCTGCGTGGGTCCTGGGGAGGCGGTCCCCGAGCTGAGGCCTCCTGCCGCCATGTTCATCTTGAGTCGGCTGAGTTTGGGCGGCAGACCTTCGTCCATGTCAAAGTCATCGTCCGACTCGCCCTCCTCCTCAAAGATCTGGTTTAGGACCGGGGCGCTCTTCCTGGAGGTGAGGCGGTTGGTGATGGAGGGGGGCTTCCGTCGCAGGATGACGTGGGTCGGGAGGGGGGATGGGTCCTGCTCTTCCTCCTCTTCATCCTCCTCCACCCTGACAATCAGAAAGGAAAACCAAGTCAGTTTCCTCTGGAGAACTGGACCGGCAGCAGCACCGTTGCCATGGCGTTGGGCTGCTCTGAACAGACCTCTAAACTCACCTGAAACAGCTGCCTGTGATCTGGACCAGGTGTGATGGACGGGATGACAGGACTGCTGGTGTGAACCGGAGCTACGCTGACATGGGTGCATGTGGGTGTGTGCATGAGATATTAACGTTGTGAGGTCACCAATCACTGTTAGAGCCTCAGGTGTTTGAGTATAAAGAGGGACTGCGCACCATCAGAAAACTAACTCCACCCCTAGGGCCATGAAAGTGGGCGTGGCCAGGAGGCACAGAGTGGCATGGCCCAGTGTGGGAATTTCCATCCTGGGAGGGAGGGGGAGTGGGAGGAGACTGTCCTGATGACCCAGCCCCAGCCAATCACACGTTTAAAATGCAGTAGCCACAGTTCTGCCACAGGGGGCAGCACTGACACGTTTTAAGGACTCTAGATTTAATCAAGTTTACACAAACACGTCACAAATGCACAGAAACAGAAAGACCCAAATATGCCGTTTATAAACAAAAACATGTTATTCTGGGCTTTAGTTAAGGATGTGAGTTTCTACTGGCACCTTAAAAAAGGGAAAAAGCGGTCTGTGGGAACATAGAACCATAACCGTTATGATGGCGTTTGGTTAAGAGACACGTGATTGGTCCCAAAAGGGGGTGTGTCTGTTGGAAGTAGGAGGAAGTGATGTAATACCCCTCTCCTCCCAGCTGCTAACAATAACTAAAGAATGGAGGTTCGTCCAGCTCCACGTCTCCACTAACAAACTGGTTTCAATGACTGGTTGATAAACAGGAACCTGAGACAGAAACACACCTGAAGAGGCAGATCCTCCGTGTGGCTGCCTGAGAGGTGGAGGGGGCCGCGGCTCTGATGGTCCCAGAGGCTGAAGCCGGGGTGGGGGCAGCAGCACAGGCTCCCTGTGAGGGGACACGCGCACACACACACGCACGCACGCACGCACACGCATGCACGCACACACACACGCACGCACATACACACACACAGGAACACACACACACACACAGAGTTTGTTGAAGGGTCTAGAAGCTTCACATGTTAAACGGCGAGCTACCGCAGGTCTTACATGAAATATTCTGAACTTCTGCATGACTAATTCTATGAACAGCAGCATCGCCTTCATTTAGAGCAGGAGTGGGGAACCCTGGTCCTCGAGGGCCGGTGTCCTGCACGTCTTTGCTCCAACTCTTCTGATTCAGTGGTTGATTCACCTGTTCTACAGCTCATCAGGCTCTGCAGAAGCCTGTTAATCACCTGCTGATTGAAACCAGGTGTGATGATGCCGGGTAGAAACTAGAATATGCTGGATAGCGGCCCTCCATGGACCAGAGTTCCCCGGCCGTTTTAGACAAACACGTTTTACTTTGTAAAGAAAGAAGAAAGCAAGACGACTTTCAGCACAACCAGTGTGTTTGTTTCTGCTCCAACGCGAGGTTCAGAGCTGAAGGAGCCTTTTGGTGGGAGACAAAACCTCTTCAAGACAACCAGGAAGGTCTCTCGTGACGATTATGTCCAGATGAGTGAGAATCTGCCCCAGCGATTCAGTCAAAATGTAACCTGAAACCCTTAAAGGAGCCAGGTCGTGCTACTGAGAGCAAAGGTCGTCAACCTGAATGTAAACCCACAAATAAAACGCGGTACACGGCCTCGGTACTCCAGCAGTTAGTGGACCACTGAGAACGTACAAAACAGTCGCCTAACACACGTGCTGAGCTGGCATTACGTGCATCTACGTAGGCAGCACTCGTGGTTTTTACAGCGGCGTTTTGTCCCGAATCTAGAAGTTTCTCAGAATATCGACAGAAAATCCAGGTTTCAGAACCGAGCCCAGACCAGCTTCAGGCTGGGATGGCCTGGCCTATCTGGCACTGACCCAGTGACGCCCAACCCTACCGAAGAGATGCCTGAACAACTGAAGACTCGATGCGAGTCAGATACCTGTGCTGTAGGTCCAACGGAGCCGGTCCCTGAGCTGTCCTCCCGTCGGCCCAGGTCCATCAGGCCTTTGGAGCGGTGGCCGTTCAGCAGGTTCTCCGCACTACGAGCGGGGGACTGAGGACCTCCAGCATGGGAGATGGCTGAAGATGCCAGTGAGTCCTCGATGTCCTGGTGCATGTCCACTCTGGTGGGCCAGGACTGCCTGCAGGGACAAGACGGGGACAAGCCTGGTCTCAACACCGTTTAGGAAAAATAATTTTATATTTCACGCCCCGAGAGATCTAAATGAGGCAAGAACGATCAAATAAAACTAAATGATCAAAAAATAAAAATGTGGAAAAAAGAAAAATAGGGTAAGAAAATAAAAAATGAGACACGGGAGCCTGAAAAAGAGCAGCAGCAGCATGAAGAGAAGCTAGTGAGGAAGAAGAGGAGGTGAACAGGTGTGGACACCTGTGGATGAGTACCTGTACGTACCTGCCCCACTGCACAAAAACAAAACATTTCAAATATCAAAAAGATTTTTAAAATATGTTTAAAATGATAAATAAAAATTGTGATTAAAATGTTAGGAAAGGGAGAGAAAATGAACAGGAAAGAGGGAAATCCGCGGATCCTGGGAAAGGCGGAGTAAGTAGAACGATCCGAACAAGGAGAGGGAGGAGATGAAGGTCCAACCAAACCTGAACAGGTGAGTTTAAAGGAGACCACTGAGTCCACTGGTCTCAGGCTCAGGAGGAGAGAGGTCCAGAGTCTGGGGGCCACAGCAGCAGATGAACGGTCACCTTTGACCTTTAGCCTGGTGCTGCACAACCTGGACCTCAGGGACCTGCTGGAAGTGTAGGGACTCAAAAGTTCTAGGTGACCTGAACACTTCAGGGTCATGTCTTCACTCAGCTTTGTGTATGACCTTGGTTCTGACTGGTGGATCTATGGGAGTTCTGTTCAGCCTGCACTGACCTCCACACACTCTGGTGCTGCTCATTAGCCCAGGAACCTCATCCAGGTGATCTCCAGGATGTAAACTGCACTGTCAACCACGGCTTCCTTTGGTCCGTACTCTCTAGCATGGGCAGCACAGGGAAAGCTCACTCCTGGCTTGAATCGTACAGGACGGGACGATCTTTCAGGTAATCTTGGCTCGGACAATATTCTGCTGTTCTCCATCTTGCCACAGGAGTCCCCCAGGGCTCAGTACTGGGACTCTGCCACATACACCACCTCACTGGGTGAGATCCTTCGATCACATGGCTTCTCCTACCACTGCTATGCCGACGACGCCCAGCTCTGTCATTCCCGCAGGACGACCACAGTCTCCGCATGAATATCGGACCGTCTCTCTGACATCAAGATGCATGAAATCCCACCATCTCCAACTCAACCGCTCTAAAACTGAATTACTTGTCATCCTTGTGAAACCATCCATACGGCACAACATCTCAATCCAAAATTATTCCAGAGCTCTTTGGTGTTGTGACTGATGAACACCTGATCTTTAAAGATCACGTTGCCTCTGTTGCTCGTTCATGCCGCTTTGCGCTGTATAACATACGAAAGATCAGACCATACCTAACACAACATGCCACCCAGCTCCTGGTGCTGGACCTGACTGCAGCCTTTGACACTGTTGACCATCACCTGCTACTGGAGAGGCTGAGAGACTGGGTAGGCCTATCAGGATCTGCTCTGGAGTGGTTCTCCTCTTATCTCTCTGAGCGCTCCTTTTCTGTGGCCGTCTCCAAGTTTACTGTAGGTCCTCCACCACCTCTCTTACCCATGGTGTCCCACAAGGTTCTGTGCTGGGGCCTCTGCTCTTCCTCCTCTATCTGCTTCCTCTTCAGCACATCCTGAGCTCCTTCAAAGGAATCTCCTACCATCTTTATGCAGATGACATCCAACTGTACATCTCCTTTAAGCCCCATGAGATGTCTAAGCTGCAGCTGTTACACACCTGCTTAGACTCTATCAGAACCTGGATGGTGGGAGCTTTCTTCAGCTGAATGAAGATAAGACTGAGATCCTCATCTGTGCCCCAGACAAGCTGGTTCCCAAAGTCAGAGACTCTCTTGGTCAGCTTGCTTCTCACACCAAACCTTCTGTCAGGAATCTTGGCGTGACCTTTGACCCAGCTCTCACCCTGGATTCTCATGTCAGTTCTCTTGTTGGCTCTTCCTTCTTCCATCTCAGGAACGTTGCTAAGCTGAGTCCCATTCTGTCCCGCTCTGAACTTGAGACAGTTCTCCACACCTTCATCTCCTCACGCTTAGACTACTGTAACTCTCTTTTCACGTGTCTGAGCAGAACCTCCCTGAACCGTCTACAGGTGGTTCAGAACGCCTGTGCTCGGCTTCTGACCAAGTCCTCCAAACACACCCACATCACCCCGCTTCTCCTCCAGCTTCACTGGCTGCCAGTCAACTTCAGGGTTCATTTCAAGATCCTGGTTCTGGTCTATAGGGCCTTACATGGACAAGCACCATCTTACATTGGTGATCTTCTTAGTCCCTACACCCCCAGCAGGTCCCTGAGGTCCAGTGATCAAAGCCTACTGGTTGTGCAGCATCAGGCTAAAGGTCAAAGGTGACAGATCATCTGCTGCTGTGGCCCCCAGACTCTGGACCTCTCTCCCCCTGAGCCTGAGATCAGTGGACTCAGTGGTCTCCTTTAAAAAGCAGCTGAAGACTCACTTGTTCAAGCTGGCTTTTGTATGACCTTCTTCACCTCTCTCTCTTTATTCTGCTCTCCCCACCTATTCCACCTTCCTCAGGATCCACTGGTTTCCCTCTTTCCTGTTCACTCTCTCTCTTTCTTAACATTTTTTCTTTTAAATCGCAATTGCTTATTCTTGCTCATTTTAAATATATTTTTAAACATTTTCTAAATGCTTTTTTATATTTTTACTTTTTTTTTATTTTTTGTTTTTGTGAAGTGCCTCGTGATTTTTATCTTGAGAGGTGCTATAGAAATAATATTTTCTTCTTCTTCTTCAATCTACTGTCATCTCCCGCCTCGATTACTGCAATGCCCTTCTAACTGGTCTTCCAGGCTGGACTGTGAGACCTCCTCAGATGGTCCAGAACGCAGCGGTGTCTGGTCTTCAATCAGCCTAAAACAGCACATGTCACCCCTGTTCTCTGAACTCCACTGGCTACTGCTAGCTGCATGCATCAAATTCAAATCCCTAAAACTAGCACACAAAGTCCTGGCTGGTACAGCGCCCATCCACCTGGATCATCTTGTAAAGGCTTACATCACGGCCCGGCTACTGCGGTCATCGAAGGGTCGTCGGCCAGCAGAGCCTACGCCACGCTCAGGACGATCCAGACTCCTCATGTGTCGTTCCACAGATGTGGAAGGACCTACAAGCACTACTAGAACAGGGGCTTCCTAGTCCCAGACAAGACCCTGCTCTTCAGAGAGCATCTTCTAAACTAGCGCCACCCCCCCCCCCCCCCCCCCCCACACACACACACTGTCGTCTCCTTGTTCACTTCCCTCTAGGACTGATCATGCTGCCTCACTGCCACCTAGGATCAGTGTTTGTTGTTATCCTCAAGGGCGACCTGCTGCTTCACTATCACCTGCAAGCGTCTGCTAATACATGAACGGTGAGAGTCAGAGCAGCAACGTGTTGACTCCACCCACCTGAACCCCACACACCCATGGGTAGGACAGCTGAGGCCGGGCTCAGCAGCAGGAACCGTTCATGTTTTACATAAAACTCATCAGGCACAGGAAAACATCTGGTGGCTGGTGTGTCTCAGCAGCTTAACTTGTCAGAGCAGACCGGGCCAGCGTGAGCCGGGCTGGGCCTGCAGCAGAACCATGACTCTGAGCAGTGTGTGTAGAGCTCTAACAGGTTCTTCCTTGTTTGGTCCTCTCCTCTGCAGCTCTTCCTTGTATAACCATGGAACAATCCTGGCACTGAGTCACACACACGTCTAATCAGGAATAACTCCCCCGAGTCCAGCAGGTCCAGGTCCAGCCTCAGGAGACCTGACCCAGTCTTATAAACCGTGACTAGGTTGTGTAAAGCTGCAGAGGGAGGCCCTGGTACTGGAGCGAGACGGGTCCGTCTCTCTGAGTGCCTAGAACATGGTACCTGAAGTGTGCTTTGATGTTGCTGGGGCTGGAGGAGCGGGTCTGGACGTCCTTCTCCTGCTTCTCCCTCAGGATCCTCTCTGCCAGCAGGTAGTATGTGGCCGTTATGTGGTTGTACTTGTTGGTCTCCAGGGCTCTGAAACAACACATCACTCATCAGGCCCGAGAGCTGCAGCAACCAGGAGACAGGAACGCTGACCACACCTCACACACACTTGCATCATGTGATCCATTCTCTCCTTCACACGCCTCCTTTCTACTCAACTCCTACAACCAATAAAAGATGTGAAAACTGAAGCCGTGTTTGGCGTGGTGGCTGGTCAGACGACAGACGTAGCCCCGACTGGAACATGAGGTCCTCCGACCTCAGGGTAGCGTGTTCGACTCAACGCAGCCAGAGCCATTAAGCTGACTTGATGCGACATGACCGTTCAGACCGCACTTGCTTTCAAAAACATCAAACGTGTCAGAATCAGTACCACGTGTTCCGGTGACACGGATCGCTTTTGAAAAAAATCTGATCTGCGTCATTCAGACTGTCATAAAAACATCAGATGTGGGTCGTATGTGAGGAAAAAAGCGGATTTGATGCTCGTTTGCCTGCAGTGTGAACGTAGCCTTAGAGATACACAACAAAAAAGCATCGTGAGCCTCCGCTGCAGTGACACGTCGCAGCGGCACACCGCCGTCGTCCATTTTTGTTCCCACTCAGTCACTACGCTGTTCCTTCAAAGAACTGTACCAGGTAAACGCTAGGAGCCACGCACTTGTGTTTCTGAAAGCCAGTATCTGTCGGGTCGCTGAGGCGGGACGCTGCACCTTGCAGCAGCGATCTACAGCAGAGCTTCGTCCTAAAGTAGTCCCAAACCTCCTGTAACTCCTTTCTGTTGCTTATTATTGTCATTTACAGTCAGGTGGATGACCGGGGTCACCAGGCAGAAGTAAGATAATCACAGTCATTTTCATGACTTTTTCACACTAAATGCTAGCTGTTACCATTGTTTATGCTAAGCTAAAGCTAACAGAATATTTCCAAAGACCGGGACGGTTACAAAATGCTTCTGATCCAGCTCGTTGGAAATGGCAACAGATTAAATTTAGCTTTCATCTGGAAACAAAAGGTGAAAATGCTGATAAGGATATTGTTTAGAGCTAACGCTAGCATCCTATGACGTCCATTTAACAGTGATGAATGGACAGGCGGAGGGACGTCTCACTCACTCGACTATAGCCTCCCGGTCAGCGATGTCTCCGAGCACCATGCGCTGGATGATGCTGTTGTGCTCCTCCTCAGAGAGGTGCTTGTGGGAGACCAGCGGGGTGCTGTACTTGGTGGCAGGAGACGGATCGACTCCTTGTAGCCAGGTGTGGTTCTCTATCTCCTCCAGGGAGGCTCGACGTTTGGGGTCCCTCTGCAGCATCTGGTCTATCAGACTAAAGGAGCAAACATGAAACAAGAACGGGAGACTTAGAGCAGCCCTGATCTGAAGTCTGAGTTAGAGGCTGAGCGTTACATGAAGGACTGCATGTGGGTAAATGAAGCTAGAGCAGGTAGGCCGGGTCACATGTTGTACTGACACAGTCATGTCTACCCCAGGGCTTCTGAGAGGGGCAGACACTCCACACGGACAGTCTGGATAATCCCAGGAAATAACAAAAGCATCATAATAATAATAATAATAATACATTTAATTTATAGTTGCCTTTCAGAACACAAGAAACATGATAAAAACGTACAAATAAAACAACAAGAGCAGCTGTACCTACAGCGTGCTCAGTAGTAACAACAAGACGGTTTGAACAGGTGGGTTTGTTTGGGTTTGAATGAAGGCAGACGGTCGATGTCTGGATGTCAGGAGGAAGTGAGTTCCAGGGCCGAGACACTAAAATTTGTGAGGAAGACCACGGAGAGATCTATAATAGTCGGTGCTAGAGGTGATGAGGCTGTGTACAAGGATAGCACCGACAGTGAGAGAGGGGCGGAGTCAACTGATGTTGCTGGCGGTCGCGGCAGCTCGGGGTGGCGTTGTTCTGCAGTTAGCTTCACCGTCATCAACATTCATGCCGGTGTGGGTTGGGACAGGCTAATGTAAGCTGGTGTACGTAAACGTACGATGTGTCGAATCAGCTTTTCCAACATCACTGATTAAAGCCTGGTTCATGCTTCGCCGTCAGCTCCGCAAGGGACAGACACGCACAGACTGACGGAGGCGTTTTGCCCTCATGCCTCTCCGTCTCCTGGAGAGTGTTGCAAAGCGATTCCCCGTCAGGACACCAGAGGGCGTAGCGCTGTTTTGTGGTATCATGTCATGTATCGGTCCAAGATCGTGTGTTTATATTGTGTTTTTTGTGTATATAAGAGACTTTTTAACACGGACATATTTGTCTCTCATTCTCCTCCACCTCTTCCTGCGCTCGCCGCCTCTAAACCCACGTTTCCTGTTGTTTCCATCCACAAATAAAACGCTTGCTGCGCATCTTTTCACTCCTCCAGTCACGGGGAATTAAACGTTCATGTTTTTAGAGTTTTTTCGCGAGGTATTCTTCAAGCTGCTCCGTGTCTGCTGCCAGTTATCCTCGGCTCTCTTTATGTTGTTGAGGGCGCAATGGCGGCGCTGTAGACGACAGGGGCGCCCTGACCAATCACAAGCTTGCGTTGTCCGTCTCGACTGACGGATGTTTAGAAAAGAGAGCTCGACTCCGTCCGTCCTTGCGGAGCTCTCCGGCAGGCTCACAAGGACGTTGCGTGTCTCCGCGCTGACGCAGACGGAGAAGCATGAATCAGGCTTTACGCAGGACAGCAGGTGGTACGGAGTGGTGTAGATGATGTTTTGTTGCACTTCACAGGGAGCTGCTCTAGCCGTCGGGTCCTGAGACGCAGTGGAGTGGTGGTAAATTACACACTAATGTGATAAAACCTTGTGAACCTTTAGCAGCTCTGATGATCAGGATCCCGCGTTCGACACCTCTGGATAGAAGTGTGTGGGTGAGTGGAGCCAAAGGGGAGCTGGTTGGTGTTGCGTGGAGAGAAGGAGCAGACGGAGGCCGGGGTTCCCCCCCAGCGCTTTATAAGCCTGGCCACCCGCCAGGCTAAGCATCATGCCCCACCCCCCTCCCTGACCTGCAACGAAACTAGAGCCCTCCAGCAGCTGATAATGGTGAGAAACAGCAGCGGAACGTGTGCAACCCCCCACCCCCGCCCTCACACCGGAGCGCGCGACTCCCCCTCCCCCCTGACGGCTGAATCCGCCAGGCTTAACTCTTTCTAGGGGAAACCCTGGAGGCTGTGAACATGGATGGAGTAAAGCAGGATGATGGGCGTGGCCCTCACAGCTGAGAGTGCAGCAGTTGGACGCCTGCACACATGACACTGCTGAAAACCGAGATTAGGGTTTTACTGGATTAGACGGGAAATGGACTCTAGAGATGAGAGCAGCATTAACAGAGCAGAAGACAAGGTCCACGTCATCTAGCAGCAGAAATGAAGACCAGCATGAAGACACACTCAGACAAATAGTAATGAGATTATAAATGTTGTGTTTCTTTAGCTCGTGGATTACTCTGCTCATAAATATCAGGAGGATCTGGAGCTTCGAGCTTACGACGAAGAGATAAAACCTCTTCTTCACTAAGTTTATCTTTTCGTTTCTATTTAATCCCTGGGTGTGTTTGCTGCAGCGTGGCTGTCCGTCACGCTGAGGATTAGTCACAACCAGGCGGGTTCCCCCAGCAGCAGCTGTGGAGGAGACACGCCTGACAACGCTTAGGTGGTTTAATAACTACACACACAGGTTAGATTATTTAAAGGTGTGGAACACTCAAAACATGTTTTAATGGTTATTTCTGATTCTAACGGGTCACTCTGAGTGTTTCATGCAGGCTGAACATGAAAATAGTCTCCTACGCCTATCTCCTGCAGTAGCTTCTTACAGAAAATAGTCTCCTACACCTATCTCCTGCATTAGCTTCTAACAGAAAATAGTCTCCTACACCTATCTCCTGCAGTAGCTTCTGATAGAAAATAGTCTCCTACACCTATCTCCTGCAGTAGCTTCTAACAGAAAATAGTCTCCTACACCTGTCTCCTGCAGTAGCTTCTAACAGAAAATAGTCTCCTACACCTATCTCCTGCATTAGCTTCTAACAGAAAATAGTCTCCTACACCTATCTCCTGCAGTAGCTTCTGATAGAAAATAGTCTCCTACACCTATCTCCTGCAGTAGCTTCTAACAGAAAATAGTCTCCTACACCTATCTCCTGCATTAGCTTCTAACAGAAAATAGTCTCCTACACCTATCTCCTGCATTAGCTTCTAACAGAAAATAGTCTCCTACACCTATCTCCTGCATTAGCTTCTAACAGAAAATAGTCTCCTACACCTATCTCCTGCATTAGCTTCTAACAGAAAATAGTCTCCTACACCTATCTCCTGCAGTAGCTTCTAACAGAAAATAGTCTCCTACACCTATCTCCTGCATTAGCTTCTAACAGAAAATAGTTTCCTACACCTATCTCCTGCAGTAGCTTCTAACAGAAAATAGTCTCCTACACCTATCTCCTGCAGTAGCTTCTAACAGAAAATAGTCTCCTACACCTATCTCCTGCATTAGCTTCTAACAGAAAATAGTCTCCTACACCTATCTCCTGCATTAGCTTCTAACAGAAAATAGTCTCCTACACCTATCTCCTGCATTAGCTTCTAACAGAAAATAGTCTCCTACACCTATCTCCTGCATTAGCTTCTGATAGAAAATAGTCTCCTACACCTATCTCCTGCATTAGCTTCTGCTAGAAAATAGTCTCCTACACCTATCTCCTGCAGTAGCTTCTAACAGAAAATAGTCTCCTACACCTATCTCCTGCATTAGCTTCTGATAGAAAATAGTCTCCTACACCTATCTCCTGCATTAGCTTCTAATAGAAAATAGTCTCCTACACCTATCTCCTGCATTAGCTTCTGATAGAAAATAGTCTCCTACACCTATCTCCTGCATTAGCTCCTGATAGAAAATAGTCTCCTACACCTATCTCCTGCATTAGCTTCTGATAGAAAATAGTCTCCTACTAGAGACCACTACAAATGTTCCACTCCTTTAAATGTGGACGCTTCCTACACTCAGTCATTTCAGCTGCAGTTAAAACAGCAACAAGAACTTTTCTGTGCGTTTCAGACGCCCGTGTCCACCTACGTGGACCCGCGCTGGAGCAGGTCTACAGCACATGGGTGCGCTGGTCTAAGCTCTACTGTTAAGTCTGAGAGTAGAGAGCTGGATTCACTCATCACTGAAGAGCGACTTCAGCCCTCTATGATGCTGCGGCCGACTCCTCAACTAACTGAACTGGTCAGAGAGTGAGAGGAGACGAGAGCTAAATGAGACTCACTCTTTGCAGGCTCTGGACACGTGGGCTGGTACGGTGTATTTACAGTCCATGATCATGGTCAGAGTCTCGCTGTCGTTAGCTTCCTGGAAAGGTGGCTGACCGCAAACCAACATGAACAGGATCACACCGAGACTCCAGATGTCTGAGAAGGACACAAGCACAACCTGAAACTGGGGCAAGGACGTCTTCATCAACACAAAGAGTCGGGGTTAAGCTGCTGCAGGCCTGAACAAACCGCTGCAGGGAGAACAGAAACACGATGTTAAAGATTCTACAGAATATTCCAGCCCAACCCGACCTGACGGAGACTCCATCAGACCTCTGGAGGCAGCTGGTTGGTAAAAGTCAGAGGAGACACAGGTTCACTGGTGCTTCGGTGTTGAGCAGCTAATAAAACATCTAAACAATAATAAACAACCATTTATAAGGAAACAACAAGTGCAGAAAATCAAAGAGAAACTTTCAGAGACTCTGAGATGTGAAGAAGTTTAAAGTGAATTCCTGAAAGGGAGCTTGGATCAGGACTTTTCCACAGCCAGCTATCCGAGCAACCGTTCTCTCCAGCAAAACTATGTGTGGTGAAAACAGCCCGTCTCTGCTCGTTACTAAATCTTAACTCAGAACGGTATTAAAGTGTCTGAGAGCCAAACGCGTAACGTCTCCTCTGATGTCCGCTCACGGGGGCTTTTGAACTCCTGTTCACCTGCTTCTCTTCTGGCTACCCCGTTTTATTTTTTAATCTGAATTATTTTATCTTTGAAATATTTCATTTGGTCATTTCAGTTATGATCATTCAGCCCTTCTTAAACGTTTCCTGGAGCTTGTGAAGGCCCTGTGGATTTTATCATGAAGGTGCTGCAAAAACTTTCTTCTAACAGCTGAAAGCTTTTCTGTGTGTGAATATCAGCAGCACACACACACACACACGCATGCAAACACACCCACGCGCGCACACACACACACGCATGCAAACACACCCACGCGCGCACACACACGCATGCAAACACACCCACGCGCGCGCACACACACATGCATGCACACGCACGCACACATACGCATGCACATGCACATGCACACACACACATGCACGCACACATACACACATGCACACGCATGCACACACACACACGCATGCACATGCACGCACACATACACACATGCACACGCATGCACACACACACACATGCATGCACATGCACACACGCATGCACATGCACACACACACGCACGCACATGCACACACACACACGTGCATGCACATGCACACACACACACACACATGCACACACACACACGCATGCACATGCACGCACACACACACGCACGCACACATACGCATGCACACACACGCATGCACATGCACACACACGCATGCACATGCAAGCACACACACACACACGCACATGAACGCACACACACGCACGCACACACACACACACACACACACACACACACAGCTGCACTAACAGCAGGAGGGTGAGAAACAGATAAGGCCCTCCTGTCACCATGGTTACAGCTCTGCTTCAGCAATGACAGGGTGAATTATTCGGCCATCGTGATTGGCCAAGCCCTATGAACTGGTCTCTTGGATGGGACGTTGCAAACTTCCACGTCAGCTCAGCATCTTCTGCAACACTTGTTCTATGAACATACTCATACTCACACTAGAAAGCTAGGATTCTGGTGATTCTGATGATAAATGACAACCATACCTGTAGACACTGATGTCAAACACTCTTAAAACCTTCTAGCGTTGACAGAACTGAGTCATCTCCAACAGAAAGGGTCTTTTACTCCAGAAGTCCAACAAATCAGACGCTCACAGTCCAGCATAACAGAGCGCTGAGAGCATTCTGAGTTTCTCTCATTTTCCCTGAGAGCATCCAAATGACAACTTTAAACCTTTGAGCGACTTCTTCCTGAACCAACAGGTGAAAGGTCAAACTATTTCCAGCCGGTCTGTACTCCGTCTGCCTCCGTGTGAAATCAGTTACTGCTGTGCAATGGGACGCTCATGAACATGAGAACAAGTGACCCCAGCTCTAAAGAGAAATAAAACCTTATTCTTCTAAATTCATCTCAGTAGCGGTCACATGACCAGTCCCTTTCCGTAGGTCGTTTTAGCATTTGTGCTAAAAGAAATCCAACAACTACATTCAAAAAGTTACTACAGAAATACCCCTGAATAAACCCTGCATTTTAATTACACAGAGCAGTGCTGCCTGACCCTGAAAATAACTGGAGGTTTTCATTTATCGGCCGATCGGGAGTTTATTTAATAAAAGACTCTGATGCATCGAGCTGCTGCTTCTGATTGTTCTTCAGTAAACAACAAATAAGTGAACGGGGGAACGCAGACGAAAGTGAAACCCTCACCTGTTCAAGCAGGCTCTGACTGTAGTCTCTGTTGCCATGGTGATCTAGCAGACAAACTGGAAACCGACTTAACTCAACAGGTGACTGAGCAGGAAGCCGCGCTCTGCACAGCAGCTCTCAGGAGAAGATTTCAAAAAGCTGAAAGGCCGAACTGCCTGTCTGCAGATGTTATTAATGAAGCCGTTTTCACTTAGTGAGTAGCTGATACAGTAAGGGCCGTCTGTCAACAGATCACACTACACAACATTGTGAATGGAAAAAAATAACTAAACTTCTATATCTCATATCCTGTCTGCTGGTAGCTAGCAGCTAATCCCAGTCAAGTTCCTGTAATTAACGGCATGACTCATCACACTGCGGGAGCACCAGTCATCAGTGTTTGGGTTCTACGTACCTACAGCCGGAGCGTCATATTCATCCCCGAGGAGGATCTCCGGTGCGGAGTAGGCCAGAGATCCACAGCTGGTGGTCAGCTTTTTCCCAGGTTGAAACTTGTTACTGAATCCAAAGTCAGTAAGCTTAACCAGTCCTTGTTTCTCAAAGAACACCACGTTCTCAGGCTTCAGGTCTCTGTGCACCACATGCAGACGATGGCAGTAGGAGATTGCATGGACTATCTGGGCAAAATATTTCTTAGCTAGCTCTTCATTCAAACCTTGTTCATGTTTCATGATGTAGTCAAACATATCTCCTCCATCGCCAAGCTCCAAGATGAGGTAAAGCTTCGTCTGAGTGTCTATCACTTCATACAAGCGCACAATATTAGGATGCTGCACCAGCTTCATGCAGCGGACCTCCTGAAAGAGGTGACCGGTTGCCACTGTGTCCAGCTTGGTCTTGTCAATCACCTTAACTGCCACCTTCTCTCCAGTGAAGACGTGACGTGCCAGCTTGACCACAGCAAAGTGACCACGGCCCAGAGTCTTATCCAGGTCATACAGACCAGCGATCTTGCCATCATATCCCCGCTTGAAGCCTGCCATGACTGGAAAGGGTGATGGGGAGAGAGGGGCCCGTGCTGGAGGCAGGGGCAAGTTGGTGGAGTTGTGGGGGTCCAGCTTATCTTACTTCATCCAAGGCTGAAGAGGAAACCCATGGCTCCAGCTTCCTGGAAGCAAAAACACAGTAACTGGAATCTTAAAGCAGGACATAAGCAAACATGATACCTACCAAATGGGGACATTTCATAAATGTGTCCTGGAGACTCGGATATCAGTATGGAATCAAGATGAGACTAAACCAGCATGCTGTCCGCGGCGTTTAGTACTTGACACGCTAGCGCCTCCACGAGCGCCGGGCTTGTTTTGACAGGATGGCTGCAGCGCCGATCCACGAGCTGGTTCTGCGCGCTGCCTCGTGTTAATTAGATGTAGCTTTAGCTGGTAACCAACTACGGCTCACAGAAACAGGAAAAGCAGATAGAGAGGTGCTCTGTGTAACGGGCCCATTCACAACTGGCACTGATCAGCTACGTTAGCTTCCCGCAAGTGCGGACTACTCCGCTGTTCATTGAAAAACGAATGTTCGCTCACACACAGAGTCTCGGTATTCGCCGTTATGGTTTCAGTTACACTAATGAGCCCCCTCCACTCTACAGAATCTCATTTATGACCCTGAAAAGAGACTCGGTCGCCTGGACTCTAATTGCGCTGCTTTAAACATCGGACAGCTAGCTCTAGTTAGCATGCTAAAGTTCCTGCGGCTCGCTGAGCTCACCTCCTAGCTAAACATGAAGCCCAGCCGTCCCCGGTACCGCCGGTTTCTGCGGAGGAATAACTGATAGGGTTTAGCGCATTAGCGGAAACGACGAGGATAGTGCGGCTTCCGGTCAGTGACCGCGGCTTTCTGCGGGTACTTACGGCCGTGTTTCATGTGAGAGACGGGGCATTGCATCGTTGGCAGCGGTTGCCCGGGTTGTATCCTCCTAGCCAGGGCGGCGGGGCTGACGTGATGCGTTCAGGGGGAAGAAAAAAAGGTCGAAATTTCCATGCACCGCATTTTTTCCTGAACCTGTAACGCTAATCCAATGTGTCTTCTCAAACTCTATTCCGTTTTTTATCCAAAACATTTACAAATAGGACATGTGGGTGAAAGCATTAGTTCATATTAATTACTGAAACGGTCGGATCAGCGCAGGCAGGTAATTTTCACAGGTTTTCCTGAAGAGAGCACGCCAGCATCACTAACTGCAGCTCTTACGTCAAACCAAGTATTTTGATGGAAAGACTACGGCGACAATTTATGGCAAGCCGGTTTAACATTTAATAATCAGCCGTTGTTTTGGCCATCTTTAGATCATAATCAGCAGTAGTGTAAGTTATCCAATTTATTTTGTTACTAACAGAAACTTTATTTAAGGATATATACATAATAGCAGCTGCTCTAGTTGGAATTGTTTGAAATTTCTCGAAATCTGTATGGTGGCCATTTAACATACATTTTGAAGACTTGATGTGTATTCCAGATACTGATCTTATATTAATCTGTTTCAAAAGCATTCCCGATATCCATAACAGTGTTCTTACTATCCAGAATGAACACTTCAGATGTAATTCTTCTAAGCACGAATGACGTCACATTTCCCATTCATGTGTATTGTATTGGACCGCTGGAGATAGGCACCAGCCCCCCCCCCCCCCCCCCCCCCCCCCCCCGCGACCCTACGTGGACAAGCAGGTTCATAAAATGGATGGATGGATAGATGAATGGATGGATGGATGGATGTGTATTGTATTGCACCTCCTATTCATGAGTGCATTCCTCCTATCTGGAATGGGCATTATGAAGAGCAGAAACTGAATTCTTACTGGCTCAACCTGTCGTTTTAGATAGGGGTTCCTTGTGGAAAAGAGGTGAGGGAGAACCACTGATCTAGCTAAGCTTGTGGACTTCATCATGAATGGAAGACTCGGGGATGCAGCTGATCAGGAAGCAATCCACTTATCCACTCATTGCCACTGCCAAGAAATATGTAATTTCTATGAATTACACATGTGACTAATGTTAGCCTCCAGTTATCATCATCATCATCATCATCATCGTCATCATCATCAAACTTTATTAACATTACAAACCTACCAAATCAAGGCAAACAACTGTAACAATAATGCCCCAGTACTGACTGGTGGCGCCTAGCCTGACCAGCCAGCCCCATGCTTTCTTATGAGAAGCAACAGTTCTCTGTGTAGACAGAGGACAAGTCTGGCAGGCCATAAGCGGCACTGGCTTTGATATTAGTCAAATTCTAAATAATTACATCCCCGCATTGGTTGAGCTGACAGATAAACCTGTTTCTCTAAACTGTGAGAAATGTTTTTATTCCAGCAGCAACAAATAAGTGACGTGCACTCCCACATTGGGCTATTTTTAGCAGACTTCTAAAACAATGATTATGTGTAACGTTGAGTTTCCTTAAACTCGATTGTTAGACCACATGTGTGCCACAGACCCTTCTAAGGCTTTGGTGTGCCAAAGTGTCTTTTCCACTTCATCTGAACAGGACCTGAATCTGTTCACAAGCATGTTGGCCTGCACAAACATCATGCAGCGTTCCTGGTTTTACATCATCATCTTCAGTCAGATCATCCTTGATAAAACGTCCCAAATATTTATATTTGCTTATCATCTCTTACTCTGCAGCTCATCGTGGCACTTTTATTTTAATTATATTTGATATCACGATATGACAGGACTATTTTAATTTACCTTAACAACAACTCAGGGGAATGTTCACATTCAGCAGTGTACAGCAGGATGGGCTATATGGTAACATGTGTGAATACATGTAAACACTTATTTCAGTCAGATGGGAAAACTTTGATCGATAGTTAGCTGTAATGAGCTTCATGCTTCAGGAGCAGATAAATAGGGAGCCTGAGGCTCGCCCTTTCCGGTTGGCTAATTGGTCCATGAGTAAAACCTATTTCTGCTCCGCTCACGCCCCAAATCACATGTTGTGCTTCAGTTTAAATGATAACTAATTATGTGTGTGCTTTAACTATGTTTGTCACATAATTTGGTATTTAAACTACAGGTCAGATGTATATATGACGTCACCGCCGAACCTTGTCTTCCTAAGCGTAGCTGCTATCCAACACGGCCAGATTTATAGTTGATTTCTCCACATGTAACGCTCCTTCTGGCGGCCTGGAAGAAGGATGTGAAGTTCGCTGAACTGGCAGCCATGTCTTCCCCTCTCCTCCGTGTCTGGTTTGATGACTTTAAGACAAAACCTGAAGTAACTTTGGCTGCCTGTCTAAAATAAAAGCCTCATTGGCATCAAGAGGTGTCTTTAAAACTCACGGACATTATATGTGATGGCACATGTCAGAAAATAACTTTCATCCGCTCATAGACTCCCATTTGTTCAGTTGGGTTAGGGTTAGACCGGGAGCAGATGGGCGTGACTTAGGCTCCCTATGTTGTTATGTTGCTTTGACCTATTTTTCTAACCTCTAAAGTCATTTTCCATTCCACGTTTGTTTGTTTTGGATCTGCAGCTGCAATTAAACCTCCAGCCGTTAGAGGGCGCCGTCTCAAGAACAGTAGAGGCGTGAAACGGGAGGTGCGAATCTGAGGTCTCCGGTCTGCTGCCGTACATGGAGGAGTGGTGGCGGTATCCTGGCGGTGGCGCTCCGTCTGTGCCGATCAGACTAGCCGGGAACATCTGATCAGGTCCGGCGGTGTTCGTGTCTGCTCCTCTCTCCTGAACGCGCGTGGGTGCTGCGGCCTGGAGGAGCGAACGGCTGTGAGCAGGGACAGCAGCAGCAGTGTCACTGCTGGGGTGTGTGTGTGTGTGTGTGTGTGTGTGTGTGTGTGTGTGTGTGTGTGTGTGTGTGTGTGTGTGTGTGTGTGTGTGTGTGTGTGTGTGTGTGTGTGTGTGTGTGTGCGCTACTGGCTAAGCTAACGCTCTTCACTAGCTGTATGCGGCGTTATTTAGCTAAAGGAGCTGTGGATGTTTGATCTGATTATTTTATTATATTTAAAATAATTAACTATATTTTTATAATACAGATTAAACTAAACATGCTTTAGGTTGTTTTAAAAGAGACCGATCAGAAACTGATTCGTGCGACACACACACACACACACACACACACACACACACACACACACACACACACACACACACACACACACACACACACACACACACACACACACACACACACACGTTCTGATTTTGTAAATCAAAATGGACCTTTTGCACCTCTTCTTGATGCCATGTGTGATCTATTGCCATCATTTCTGTCAGTGTTTGGCTTCAGCAGTTATGAGCTGTTTGAAAATGCCCCTTTTTGTGATGTCACAATAAGGGGCATTAGCATAGAACCCCCTGACCTGTTTATGTAGGTTTTTGCTCTTGATGCAAGGAGACTGTGTTGCTAACTTGTCAGCATAGTAGCCACTGGCCGTCCCAAAGTCACTAAAAGTTCCTGCAGTTCCAGCAGCTCAGGAGGTAGAGCGGGTTGTTCAGTAATGGGGAGGTTGCAGGTTCGATCCTGACTCTGACGAGAATGCTGCCCCCCCCCCCCCCCCCCCCCCCCCCCCCCCGGTGGTGGTCGGAGTGACCGGTGGTGCCTGTGCTTAGCAGGTGCCCCAGGGGTGGATGACTGATTTGGTTGTGAAGCACCTTGGGGGGTTGTAGAACCGAAGATGATCCAAATACAGGCCGTTTACATGACTCCATCATCTCATTTGCATAATGCACAATTTCATGGAAGAGGGAGGAACTGGGGAGTGATGTGAAAGCAGAGACAACAAGTGATTAAAACCCCTAAAAGTAAAACTCAAAATGCGCTACAGGCTCTTATATCACATTTCTAACCCTCCTCACTTATGGGGCCTCGGACCCCAGGGACAACCTGGTGGCCTCTTCCCTCAAGTCTCTGTAATATTTGGGATGAAATCCAAATGATTAAACCATTCTTCCTGTGTTTTGGGTTTGAAGTAGCGTTCGTTGCGTGTGGAGCGTTTTGCTCGGGGTGGGGGGGGATCTCAGCCGTGGTGCAGCGCCACGCCTGAGCCTGTGGGAGAAATCCACGCTGTTCTACTGCAGAACGTGGTCAGCAGCTCCTGCAGATCATGATGAAGGCTGATGAAATAATTCAACAGACAGAATCAGGTGTTTCGGAGCAGGAACATGTCCAAAACATTTCTTGTGTGTTAGTGTTACGAGGCATTTAGTGTGCGTGTTATGAGGCTTGGCCTTCAGCTCTTCCAGAAGGAGAGGAGGAGCAGGGACAGGAGCCGTAACGGTTCAGATTTATGGACCCCAGCTTTAAAAAGTCTCGACTTAAACCTTTAGGAACCCCGTTCTGGGAATGCTCACGTTCCAACTGTTTTATGTGCTTCTTTCTTGTCTTTCCTTTTTCTTGCTTTAGGTGGATGCTTGGCAGTGAATGTCTCGGTATCTGTCTCTGGGGTCAAAGGCCAGCCGGAGTTGGGAGGCGGGTCCATAACCGCTGCAGCGATGCGGGCGTCAGTGGCAGGCTGGAAGATGAACTTGGGTGCCCTCCTTAACGGACTTTTGGTCTCTGTAGTTGCAGCTCTGCTGTGGAAGTACTCCAAGCTGAGTGAGCATGCCGCTCAGCTAGAGGAGGAGCTCCATATGACACAACAGTCCCAGGAGGTCTCTCAGGCCCGCATCGACTACCACGTGGCCCTGCAGTCCCTCCAGGAGCACGGCACTCGAATGGTTTGCTCTGGCAAGATGCACACGGACCGCGTCTGCCGCTTTGACTATCTGTGCTACTCCTCAGAAGCAGAGGAGTTCATGTTCTTCCACTCCAACTCCTCCTTCATGCTGCCTAATCTGGGCTCTAGGCGCTTTCAGCCCGCTCTACTGGACTTGTCTTCAGTAGAGGACCACAACACTCAGTACTTTAACTTTTTAGAGCTCCCAGCTGCAGCGTTAAAGTTCATGCCGAAGCCCGTTTTTGTTCCAGATGTGACTCTGATCCTGAACAGGTTTAATCCCGATAACTTGATGCATGTTTTCCATGACGACCTCCTCCCAGCCTTCTATACCATGAAGCAGTATTCAGACCTGGATGACGAGGCTCGTCTCGTGTTCATGGAGGGCTGGGGGGAAGGGCCGTACCTTGATCTCTACCGCCTTCTCAGCACCAAGCAGCCGCTGCTGAAGGAGCAGCTGAAGAACTTTGGGAAACTGATGTGTTTCACCAAATCTTACGTCGGCTTGTCCAAAATGACTACCTGGTACCAGTACGGGTTTGTCCAGCCGCAAGGCCCCAAAGCCAACATTTTGGTCTCAGGGAATGAGATCAGGCAGTTTGCCAAGGCTCTTATGGAAAGAATGAACATCACCTTGTTGGAGGAGGCGGGGAGATATGGAGGAAGCTCCGAGCAAGAAAAGGAGAGGGAGAAGAAAGAGGACTATATTGTAGTTTTTAGCCGTTCAACAACAAGGCTGATTCTGAATGAAGCAGAGCTAGTCATGGCTCTGGCCCAGGAGTTCCAGATGAGAGTGGTCACAGTGTCTTTGGAGGACCAGTCTTTCTCCAGTATCATCCAGATGATCAGTGGAGCCTTCATGTTGGTCAGCATGCACGGAGCTCAGCTGATCTCCTCACTGTTCCTCCCCAGAGGTGCTGCCGTTGTAGAGCTGTTTCCCTTTGCTGTCAACCCAGAGCAGTACACCCCGTACAAAACCCTCGCCTCCCTCCCAGGCATGGACCTTCACTACGTCTCCTGGAGGAACACCAAGGAGGCGAACACCGTCACCCATCCAAATAGACCCTGGGAGCAGGGCGGCATTGTCCACTTGGAAAAAGAGGAGCAGGAGCGAATCCTGGCAAGTAAAGATGTCCCTAGGCATCTGTGCTGTCGTAACCCGGAGTGGCTCTTCCGAATCTACCAGGACACTTTAGTGGACATCCCCTCATTTCTCAGTGTTCTCAAAGATGCAATGAAGACGAGGCCCAACTCGAAAAAGGCCAAGACGGCCAGCACGGTCCATCCTGGCCGGGTCAGAGAAGCCCGCTGTCAAACTTCGGTACAAACGTCTAGTGAGGCTAAACTCTCCGTCTCGTGGCAGATCCCGTGGAACCTGAAGTTCCTAAAGGTGAGAGAAGTGAAGTACGAGGTTTGGATCCAGGAGCAGGGAGAGAACACCTACATGCCTCACATCCTTCTGCAGCAGAACTACACCTTCTCAGAGAACATCAAGCCCTTCACCACCTACCTGGTGTGGGTTCGGTGTATCTTCAACAAGAACCTTCTGGGGCCTTTTGCGGATGTGCTGACATGCCGGACTTAAAACACACCCTGGAGCGTTTTGATGCTGTCCAGCAGGAGACTGACGGGGTTTGCTGTTGGGCTTGTTTCTGTGATTCTGGAGGGACTGCTGTGCACAGGGCTGCTTCCCACCAAGGTCTAACTACAGAAGGACCTCCAAGAGACTTCTAAAGAAGAACCCTGAAAGAGAAAGTTCTCTACTGACACCAGATGTATTTATGTGGAGATTAATATTTATCATTTCTAGGGTCAGTCTACAGATTCTGACCTTGTAGAGGATGCAGTGTAGCTCGTCTGTGACACAGTTTAGATTTTTGACTTGTTTAATGTGGACGTTGTGAGCGTGCGTGAGCTTAACGGACCAGTAGGTGTATCATACATGTCTTCCCAGGACCGCTCTACAGGAATCAGAAACAGAGCTCCAGCCTGGTCACTCGTCTCATCCCTCAGTCTGCTAAACGTTAGCTCTCCCGTTTACTCCCACTGCACAGGAACACGCACACACACACACACACACACACCCCTCTTCATGATTTAAAGACGACAAAAATTCGAGCAGCTTCATTAACCAGCATGTCTTTCATCAGCAGTTTAACTAAAACTGTTAGAGGGACTAAACTGTGCAAACTCCTCTTTTTGGAGCTTTGGACCATGTGATATTATTTTCTAATTAAAAAATCCCCAAAGCCATTTTTGGCTTCACACAAAGCTTTTTCCAGTCTCAGCTGCAAATCCCATCTGGTGTTCCCAGCTGTTGTAAATGGTTGGATAGGGCCAGTTTGTGTCATCGTGGCCCATCCAGGTAGCGTTGAACCCGGATCCCTCCTCCCCTGGACTGTAAACACTAACAGCCAGTCTCTTCGTGTAGCTAGCAGGAAGTTTAATCTCCACATGAAGAAGTGATTTCTTTCTTATCTTGTCTTCCTCCGTTCCCACTTCCTGTTTGTAAAATGCAACAAATGCTGTTGCCTAGCAGACCGAGAGGGCGGAGCCACTATCAAATACACACACACAATGACATTGTGACATCATATGGTACCAGCTAACATTCTAGGGTACCTCTTAGCCAATGGCAGATTTAAATTCAAATGCAGTGCAGAGTTTTTACCCGACGACGGCGCAACACTGACAGTTTCAGGCAGAAAATTACAATTTTAACTAAAATGCACTAAAGTGCAGAACTATTGACGACGCGTGTCTGCAGCACGATTAGACACACATTTATATAGTTTATCAGAGAAAAAACGTTGATTTGGGGTGACTTGCTCTTTAAATAAAGCCTAGAACCGAACATGGATTTCTCTGTGAGAGGAACAGGATCCCCGTGCGGTCTGCCTGAAGAAGATTATTGACAGAAAGGGTTGGATTGTATCTTCGGAAACTCAAAAACCTAGCCAGACTGATTTCAGACCGTCAGTACTGAAGTGTGGGACACCATGGACGTGGGGCATGATGGTGAATCTGCGGTCTCTGCGTCTGCAGCTGTGTACTATTGTGGGCTTCACATGGGGGAGGCGGGGTTTCATCTAATCCAAGCATTTCTGGGTTGAAGGAATGACTCATGAAAAGGGTTTTATTCCATCTCAGTAGTGCTAACTGTAATATTTGATCACGTGTTGATGCATTGGTGTAAAATGACACGATACAGACCCTTTAATGGCTTGGATTCTTGCAGCGAAGGCTTCTGTAGAATCATCAGACGACACCTGACTGGACCCAAGCTGGATCTCAGGTATGTTTTAGATGCATCTTCAAATCAGCTTTGGTTAGAAGAAGCTCCTCTCTGCTGCAACTGGCCCTGGCTCTGGCAGTGATCCTCAGGACCACCCTCATATCAGGATGAACGTCCATCAGTTTCTCTCCTTCATCTTCTCTTGTAGAGTCTGATGTTAGCTGATGGACCCTCTGAGCTAACTCCACCTTCATCCTACCAGACAGGCGAGGTCGGTCAGCAGGGTCTAAAGGGGCCTCGTCATGAACTTCAGGAGGTGTTGGCGTCCTCAGGCTGATGGTCAGTAGGTGCTGGGTTTGACCCTTCACCTGCAAGCAAGTCAAACACGTGCAGATGCAGACGCGAGTCCTTCAGTAAGGTCGCAGTAGTTTATAAATGACTGGACATCAAGCATTAAACACAGCGGAAGCTTACCTGCTTCAGGCTGCCGTTCACCGGTGGGGGGCGGAGTCGTGCTGCTGCATGACACCTGACTCGTAGCTGAATTCAAGCACAGTACATTCACACGCTGCTCGTGTCATTCTACATGTCTTTATAGATGCGAGTCTGTTCATGAAGTTTTGTACAAATAAACATGTAACTATGATACACCTGCTAACAAGGGTCTACCTTCCAGGTACAGCGGTGTGTCAGAGACACACCTGGCTTCAGAGGGCGGAGCTTGTGTGGATGTGCATCAGAAGACCTCGCTCCAGCAGCTGTTAGCGGTGTCTACATGTTTTCTGAGAGCGTCTGGACCAGCGACGTCTAAAGGGTGACCCTCTGACGTGTTTTATGCTCCCCGCTCATGTCTCTGATGACGAGTGTAGTCTGCTGTAGACTACGATGGATCAACACGCTTTAACATGCTTTTGTTCAGAGTTTTACTCATTTGGATATGTTGACCTATTTTGAGTTGTACAGGATTAAAATAAAAAATTCTAATAAAATCACGTTCTTGTGGTCCGTGAAACTAAACTTTACAGTTTTGGACGCGCCTGATCTAGACAGATTTACACGATACTGTCAGACCTACGCTCAGTAGGAGGAGAAGAACCTGGTGCACCGATAAGCAGGCTCATGTGAAGGGCCGTGAGGTAAAATACAATAGTTCATCTGACCTGTCTGCCCCTCCACTTGCCCTGACCTCTGACCTGTCTGCCCCTCCACTTAACCTGACCTCTGACCTGTCCGTCCCGAGGGTGCACGCATCACCCCACAGTCGGCACCTCAGCTGAGAGACATGTTATTATACTTATTAGTCATTTATTTAGGACGTGAAGGGAGGGTGAGCTTCTTCTCTGAGCCCTGGGTGGCTGCTGGTGACCCTCCAGCAGATGGCACCATGCCAAAGCGTGAGGACTGGTGCGAGGCAGAGGCCAGTCTAGTCAGATCCGTTTAATTTATGGGAGTTGTGGGTGGTTGTCACCGAACAGCAGCAGGTATGAACTCGCTACTTTACCCAAACATTGCTCTCAGCTTGCTGCTCTGCGTTTACCGGTCAGGACGACCGCTTCCTTCCCGCTGTTGACACCACCTGCTGGATTCTAGGATGAGGACTCTGAGTCCTGAGACTAAATCTGATACACCAGAACCACAGCTGTTGAACCTGTAATCCCAGCTTGAGCCCGAAGGACATCAGCACAACATAATCCATAAACTGGTGTCGGCCCACTAAAACCTGGGGAAGAGTTTCCTTCAGTTCTGGTTCCTGTGGAACGGCCCGGGTCTGCATGAGCATCAGAACCAACTGGTTTTAATAATTCCTTCAGCTGAGAATCTTTTAGTACCCAGGGTTAGGGTCCAGCAGCGAGTCACCGTGGTGTCCAGGGTCAGAGGTCGGCGCTTAAAGCTGAAACCGTGGTTACTGATGGATCCATGGTTAGGACCCACATTATGAGCATTTCTGTAAATCACAGTTGGTTTGTATTTGTAGTCAGGTCTGTTCCAGCGTCTCACCTGCAGCTGCAGCTGCTGGAGCCCACCGCGGGCTAGCAGTAGGTCATCAGCTGTGTGTGTGTGCGGTGCGTGTGTGTCATCCAGCATGTAGAACAGCACCTTAACCCTCTGGAGGCAGGCAGGTTAAAACCTACCTACCTGGTTACTCCACACACGTGTTTCTGAGCATTTGTTACCTCAGAAGTTCCCCTGAAGGACTTTTTTAGCGCCGGAGAGGGTTAAAGGAGCATGAACAAGCTAAACAATCCTTCTCCAACCCTGATACATTGAGATGGGCTGGACGACGTTGGTAACCGACATAAATCCAGTTTCGGTGTTTCACCTCCAGGTTGGCGTTACTGATGGCTCCACCTGCTGCTCTGCAGCTGCAGCCTTCTCCGGGTTCAGAGTCTGACAAAAAGCCCGTGGCTGAACAGAATGTTCAACACAGTTGTGTTTTTGTGTGTTTTTCATTTTGCTTGTGAAGCACCTGGTGGTTTTCATCTAGAAAGGTGCAGCCACTTCTCAGTCCTGTGAGCTGGAGCTGAACCTCAACATTAAAACATCAGAAACCTCCTCTGACCCTTTCTGGCAGTAAAACCCATCGGAGGAGGAGGAGGAGGAGCCCGTCTGGACCGCATCACAGTTCCCTCAGGAGGCGGAGCCTTTTGGTCCTGATGTGCTGGAGGAGGATCTGCCCCCTCTGCTCCACGATGTGGACCAGAGGCCTGAGACCGATGGCCCCCCCACGGCTGTCCCAGAATTCCTTGTCTGTGTAGAGGGAGCGCAGAAGAAGAGTCTCCAGACAGCCTGAGCGCAGCACTGACACAGCTCTCTCTGGAAACCTGAGACACAAAAACCACAGACGGGTTTTCATCCGCCCAGTAGCTCCGCGTAAATGTACTCATTTAAATATGAATCTGCAAAAACTAAATAACCGACGACAGGTTTCATTCTGACGCAGCCTCACACAGGCTGATGCAGCAGGTAGGTGTGCTTGGCTCCAAACCTTCACCCGTCCTGCTGGGTCCCAGCTAACCAATGTCACGTTTCCTAATTCACCGTTTAAGTTTAAATTAAATCAAGTTTAGACCAATAAATGGTTTAGAGCAGTGAAGCGGGTTAGACGCCGTCGGGGGAGCCTCCAACCAGAGGTGAGGGCTGAGATGTTGCTTCCTCCACAACGTAAATGACTCAACTAGCATTCAGTGATGTGACTGAAGGAACAGCCCTGAGCCTGGAAGGTTCATAAAGGTACAACAGATCCATGTTAAAGCTTGATGATGTCATCAGAGCTGAATGTTTAGAGGTGCTTTGGTTTCATGTTGCACATGTGGCACTACAGAGCAGTTCTCAGGAGGAAACGCTGTGGGAAGGATCGGTGAGAGATCTGGATCCAAATGAAGAAGCGGCAGATGTTCTGAGTTTGTTGGTGAGACCGGCTCTGCTCCTGGTCCCTCATCACTACACCTGCTGACCTGGACCCTCCCACAGACCGGCTCTGCTCCTGGTCCCTCATCACTACACCTGCTGACCTGGACCCTCCCACAGACCGGCTCTGCTCCTGGTCCCTCATCACCACACCTGCTGACCTGGACCCTCCCACAGACCGGCTCTGCTCCTGGTCCCTCATCACTACACCTGCTGACCTGGACCCTCCCACAGACCGGCTCTGCTCCTGGTCCCTCATCACCACACCTGCTGACCTGGACCCTCCCACAGACCAGCTCTGCTCCTGGTCCCTCATCACTACACCTGCTGACCTGGACCCTCCCGCAGAAACACACAAAGAAGAAACACCCGACAGGAGCGCCTGCCTTAGTCAGCATCATGTTGTCCTTTGGGATGTGACGAGAGGCTTTTTAGGGTTGCTGAGAACAGGAATGGATTTAGGATGGAAAGGTTTTTGTTTTTAGTAAAATGATTTAATAATTTAGAGAAGCTGACTGATCTCACCCGTAAGTTACTTCAGGTGTTGATTGGTGATCTGCTCTCCCAATTAAACTTTATTTATTCCTAAAATGATTTTTGTGTCCAGGTCAGGGATGAGGTCCTGCCTCAGGAGGAAGAGTTTAAGTATCTCGGGGTCTTGTTCACGTGTGAGGGAAAGCTGGAGCGTGAGATGGATAGGTGGATTGGTGCTGCGTCTGCAGTGATGCGGGCGTTGTACCGGTCTGTCGTGGTGAAGAGAGAGCTGAGTCAGAAGGCGAAGCTCTCGATTTACCGGTTCCTATCCTCACCTATGGTCACAGGCTCTGGGTGGTGACCCAAAGAACGAGATCATGGATACAAGTGGGCGAAATGAGTTTTCTCCCCAGGGTCTCTGGGCTCTCCCTTAGAGATAGGAGGAGAAGTCGGGATGGTCAGGATGGAGGAGTCAGTTGAGGTGGCTCAGGCATCTGGTCAGGATGCCTCCTGGACGCCTCCCTGGTGAGGTTTTCTGGGCACGTCCAACCGGGAGGAGACCTAAAGGGAGACCCAGGACACGCTGGAGAGACTATGTCTCTCACCTGGCCAGGTAACGCCTGGCGGAGTGGCTGGGTAGAGGGAAGTCTAGGTCTCTCTGCTTAGGCTGCTGCCCCCGTGACCCGACCCGGATAATCAGATGATAATTGATGGATGGATAGATTTTTGTGTGTGAATAAAATGCTGCAGTAAAAGAGAAGCAACTTAGACCAAGACAGAGCTAAGAACTTACTCCTCAATGCCCTCAAGCAGCCTGAAGTTCAGGTTGTCACTGGGCTGCTGTGGTCTACCAGCGTTGTCTATGAACACCAGTCTGCTGGGATCCGCCTTCCTCACCTGAACAAAAGTACACAAGAAATCAGCTGACAGCTTCAGACATGAGCGCGACGCTATCCTCCGTCACATCACATGTCTATACATCTATATCTATAGATACACATAATCTCACCTCTGATTGGCTCACAGAAATGCCACTCCCTCACCGTTGGGGTAAAAGTGCAAAGCTGACGCATTATCACCACAAAATGCATCTGCCCCAACATGTTCTGCCACCTTGTGGATTTGCTAGAGCTAACGATTATCTTCTACATGCCTTGCTCTCTCAGTGCCGTGTGTAGTCTCAGGCCAAGGTGGGCGGAGTCATGGATGCTAATTTCTGACGTATGACTGATTTCCTGACCTGATTGTTTCCCTGTCTTTTCCCGTTCTTTGGCTCATGCAGGTGATGAGGGCTGAAGAACCTTTCACCTTCAGCATGCACGTGCAACTCAGAGTGAGCGAGTGATTTCTGAAAGACCGAGTATCACACAGCTCCTCTGTGAACCAGGCATTTAACAATTTTTGTCCTTTAAAGGAGAAGTTCACCCTACTAGAGAAGGAACTGCTGGACGTTTAGTGTCTCAGAACAGGAAACAAAACACGAAGAAAGGTGAGGAGTGGAGGGTCACCGAGCTGAACCCACCAGGATGTGAACCAGCAGCAGGTCCTTGCTTTTGCCACACTTGCTGTGCAGCAGGTTCTCCACACAGAGGTCTGTTGGATCAGGTGTAAACCCACAGCAGTACCTGTCCAGACGGTCGCTCACCTGTAAAAACAGAGCACGCACGCACACACACACACACACACACACACACACACACACACACACACACACACACACACACACACACACACACACACACACACACACACACACACACACACACGCACACACACACACACACGCACACACACACACACACACACACACACGCACACACACACACACACACACACACACACACACGCACACACACACACACACACACACACACACACACACACACACACACACACACACAGGAGTCAGTGGTGGCTGATAACAATCTGCTGGAATAGACAGTTGAAAAACTGGAAATTTCTAAATTCTATAATCAGAAGTAAAAACTGGTGAATCAGGTTGAACACGTAAAAATCTTCATAAAAACAATAAAAAATTGAAGCTGCAAGCAGCTTCGTTCTGCCCTTGCAGCTCCGTGCCGCTCTGGCCTGGCCGGCATCCCGGTGCACCCGGTCACACAGGGGCGTGTCCAGGGAGTTGCCTGGGGTAGCAAATGCCACCCTTGGAATCCGTTTGGCCACCCCAGGTGCCACCACACTAATTTACTTTTAAATAGGCTTTTCATTGTCCACAAAAGGCTTGGGGGTAAAACAAAAAAGCATAACCATTGGTGCCACCCATGCACAAAGCTGTGCCTCACCTGGGCCACCCCATTTTAAGAGATCTGGACACGCTACTGCGGTCACGTCTGCGGAACATAAACGTCGACCACCCCAACACCAGAAACCGCGAACGGTCTCCTCATCCGCACCTCACCCTGACTCTGCATCTCCTCTGAGCCCACCAATAAATTACACATCTCACCACTAGGGCATACTCTATCTTTACCACGCTGGTGGTGTGATGACACAGACCAAGTTTAAGTCTATTCTGACCACGTTTTTTGAAGTTATTGAAAGTTAAAGTTATCTAGGGGGCGCTGTGACCAATTACAGAAAAGTCCCATTGAGGTCAGTTTTGGTTGACAAAGGTGGTTTTCTGTTATTTTGGCATCAATCAGACGTGTGTGTTAACTAGAGTCAGAGAGCTGAAAGGGGGCGGAGCTAAAGGGATTTGAACCAACAACCACATCAATGTGTTTGGTGCCGTCATGTGATCACACAAGCCAAGTATAATACCATTCTGACCTTGTCTTTAGAAGTTAATAAAGTTTGAACCTATCTAGGGGGCGCTGTGACCATTTACCACTAAATCTCATAGATCTTTGATCATCAAAGATGGTTTTCTGTTAATTTGGCATCAATCAAACGTTGCACAGGTCATCTAGAGCCAAAAGGCTGTAACTGGGCGGAGTTAAAGTGATTTGAACGAGTGAGTACATACATGTGTTCATTGCAGTTACGTGATGACTCCCACCATGTTTGATATAGTTTGGAGCTTTTATGCAGAAGTTACAATTGATTTATTGTATCTAGGGGGCGCTGTCCCAAATTTAGGAAATATTCCATGAAGAAGTTTGTAGGTTCGCAACAATCATTTGCATGCAGTTTGGTGTGAATTGCATCATGCATGTGTTATTCAGGGCCTAACATCTGTCAGGGGGCGGAGCTAGAGCTATACCAACCAATGACCACAGGATTGTGCTGGGTGCCTTTGTGTGATGACATATAGCAAGTTCGGCGCAGTTGTGACCTCGTCTGTAGGAGTTGTTACAGTTTTAAAGGTATGTAGGGGGCGCTGTGGTTCTATTATACAACGTTCACCAACCGTTTGTGTCTCGTTGGCTAAAGGGCAGGATTGTTGATTGCCATGTTCAGTCCAAAATGGCCGACTTCCTGTGCAACATTGACCTTGCCTCCAAGAGTCTTTTTAGTAGGTCCCAAGGCACTACATTAGTGTACCAAATTTCATAGTTCTCAGATAAAGCATGGCTTGGGGCTGACAGTTTTAATGATACTAGGGGGCGCTATTTCAGAAAGAAGGCCATGCTCACAAACCTATCATGTCCATTTCTATTGGTGGTCAGACTAGGATCACTCATCAGAGATTTTGTAGTGATATCACGATAACTGAGGAAATGAGAGGCAAACATATTTCCATGTCGTGATGGCAAATTTTGCCATGCTCCCAAAGCCCCGCCATTTTTTGAAACCCGCCAGTACTGGAGCCCAAGTGACCTCAACTTGTCTACTGCTATTTGCCAGAGATTACTGGTGATTGGGTGAAAGGAGTCCAATAGGGAGCTGTGAAAAAGAGTGGCATGGCGGCAGGTCAAAGTTTGAGGCTTAGCCACACCCACACCTTTCAACTTTTGAAAAATCCTACGGTTGATTTTTTTCCCCCTATGTCTTAAGAGTATATAGCAGAAGTTTGAAGGCGATCGGTGAAAAGGGTGACAAGGCATCATTCTCCAAACAATGTTTACAAAACCACTAAATTGTAGGTCCTGAGACACTACATTAGTGTACCGAATTTCGTAATCCTCAGTCAAAGCATGGCTTGGGGCTGACGGTTTTAATGGTTCTAGGGGGAGCTATTTAAAAAAATAGGCCACGCCCACCGGACTTTCACTTCAGATATTTTGGGGGGCCTGACTAGGATCAAGTGGATAAGTTTTGTGGCGATATCTTTAGAAATGACGAAATGGGAGTCAAACATATGGCCATGGCGGTATGCCTGACTTCGCCGTGCCGCCACAGCCCCGCCCTCTTTTGAAAACTCCCATAAAGTAACGCCAAGCAACCCCCACTTGTCTTGAGATACCAGCTACAAATTTGTGTTGATTAAGGGAAATGGGGCAATTTGGGAACTATCACAGTAAAACATGACTTTTTTGGTCCTGAGGAGGCGGGGCTTGTGTGATGTCATCATCCAACCATTAATTTTTATTTGGGGCCAGATGTCGAATGACACAGAAGTTTTTGTAACTCAACTCTATTTGTTATGAAGTTATAGCCATTTATATGTTTTTGGCGAGTAGTCGAACTTCGAGGCCTGGCCCCGCCCCCTCAGCATATACGAAAAGTCAGTTTTATTTTTTCTATTTGACCGCTCATCCCTTCTGATCAATTTCACACAAATGTTGAGACGATTGTGCGAAAAATGATCGAGTAAATCAATCAGAAGCGGACCCTAAAAGCGGCCAAAACGGGTAAAAATTGCCATTTCAACCCAAAATGGCCGACTTCCTGTTTAACGTTGACCATGGTTGCAAGAGGCTTTTCTGTGCAGACTGTTGAGTTCTACAAGTGTACAAAACTTCATAACTGTACGACAAACTAAGGTTTATGTGGGGGGTATTTTTCACATTCTAGGGGGCGCTGTGGAGCTAGTTTTATTGCGATTTTTTTTGGGACCTTTAAAATACAAAATTTTACACCACGCCCATCGATATATAAAAACCACATACATATAAATACCACGCCTGACATGTGTGCAAAAATTCCCGAGTTTTTGGGTATGTTAAGGCCTCCAAAAATAAACAGAGCGGATACAACAGGCCTCGCAGCGCTTTCGCTGCTCCGGCCTGATGAGTACAAAAAACGTCAAGATTCAAAAAGGAAAAAATGAGATAGAGAAGCTCTGGAGATGTGTTGGGTTCTGACCCCGATGATGGTTGTGACCCAGATGATGGTTCAGGGTCTAAGGCAGGTGGTGAAGCTGTTGCACCGTGTTAGTGTGTTTGTGGAAGGAGGCTACAGGATGATGGATGTTTTACCTGTAATAGGAAGTCAAACAGAGCCAGCCTCCCCCACTCTGAGTGCCGGACCCCCACACATGGGTCTGACCTCAGCTCTGTCCCGTTCTCACACCTTGCCTGTAGCAGCTTCTGGTACTGGACCCAGCCGAGTGGTACAGAGTTCTGGTCGTTGTCGTTGTCGGCGAGATGCTGAATGTCAGGATCCCACCACACTACAGGCCTCGGGGAGCCCCTGGTGAAGCGGTAGGGTAGAACATCGCTGTGGAACATCCGTAGAACAGCAGGCAGACTCCTGTTGATTCCCAGCACCCGGTCCAGGTGGAAGGCAAACACCTCAAACCAGTCCTCAGTACGCTTGATCAGGGAGCAGCAGCCCTGCTGGCAGTGCCCCCTGTGGGTGGAGACACCTCCTGCTTGTCTCACCTGGGACACAGACATCAGGGTTTCACTTTTAGCTTGTCCTTTACTTCAGATTCACACAGTCTGAAATATCTTGTTCTATTGAGCATTCATTCATCCATTTATGCTCTTATATCCGGAGTCGGGTTGCGGGGGCAGCAGCCTAAGCAGAGAGGCCCTGACTTCCCTCTCCCCAGCCACTCGGGCCAGCTCCTCCGGGGGAATCCCAAGGCGTTACCTGGCCAGGTGAGAGACATAGTCCCTCCACCGTGTCCTGGGTCTTCCTTTAGGTCTCCTCCCGGTTGGACGTGCCCAGAAAACCTCACCAGGGAGGCGTCCAGGAGGCATCCTGACCAGATGCCCGGGCCACCTCAACTGGCTCCTCTCGATGTGGAGGAGCAGCGGGTCTACTCCAAGCCCCTCCCAGATAACAGAACTTCTCACCCTATCTCTAAGGGAGAGCCCAGCCACTCTTCGGAGAAAACTTATTTTGGCCGCTTGTATCCGCGATCTCGTTCTTTCGGTCACTACCCAAAGCTCATGACCATAGGTGAGGGTAGGAACGTAGATCTACCGGTAAATCAAGAGCTGCCCTCCGGCTCAGCTCTCTCTTCACCACGACAGACCGGTACAACGCCCGCATCACTGCAGACGCAGCATCAATCCACCTATCGATCTCACGCTCCAGTTTTCCCTCACTCATGAACAAGACCCAGAGATACTTAAACTCCTCCACTTGGGGCAGGACCTCATCCCTGACCCGGAGAAGGCATTCTACCCTTTTCTGAATCAAGACCGTGGTCTCAGATTTAGAGGAGCTGATTCTCCTCTCGGACGCTTCTCACATGGCTCATAACAGCTGCAGTGAGAGCTGGAGATCATGGTTTGATGAAGCCAACAGGACCACATCATCTGCAAAAAGTAGAGAGCTGGTCCTTAGGCCACCAAAACAGACGTTCAGGATTTATAGCCTTGGTCAGTTTTTGTGCAGTTTGGTAAATAACGTCTTTTCCGTTCATCAGGAACCTGCTCACTGTGAATGTTTTCCACGCTAACATAAGAACTGAGAGTGGTTGAGTAGGCCAACACGTTATAACGTCTACATTTAATCAGCTGCAACGCCACATTTTCCTGTGAACAGTCCAGCAGCTTACCTGGCGCTGCGCAGGAGGATTCAAGGCCACCTGGAGCACCTGTCCATGTGCAGGCACCCGGGCCTTACTGATGACGTCACCCCCAGACAGCAGCTCCATCTTTTCAATATCGTCGTTGCTGAACCATGAAGGAGGCTGGTGTGGGCGGACTCTGATCTTCCTGTCATCGCTGTCTGGGAAGTCCTGCCCTCTGAAGCTCTCGCACACATGCTTGTGATTGGGCTTCACAGGTTGGGACAAAGCCTCTCCATGCTCTGATGGTCCAGGATTCCACTTTGCTTTAGGAAGATTTCCTGAGACATTAAGTAGCTGTTTGTGCTCGCGGGTGAGCCTTTTCCCTGGAAGCTGCTCCTTATCCACACCATCAAGCTTCCCAGAGGCTTTTGGAGCTTGTGTGGGTTTCTGCAAGAGCTGCTGCTGTTGTAGCTTTACCCTCGCGAGGCTGCTGCTCAGTTGTGTGTCGGCATTCCTGTTTGTGTGTCTGCCTTTCTGGGCATGCGCAGCTCCTCTGTCTGGGTTGTGTGCTCTTATCCTTTCAGGATAAATGTGTGTGTGTGCCGTGGGTTGCTTCACCACATCACTGTGGCTGCTTGGTTTAATGCTATGCTTCAGCTCTGTGCTGTTGACTGTAAAGTCTGGCAGCTGAGGATAATGATGATGGCTCGATGGCCGGATGGAGCCAGCCGTCCTTCTCTTGGAGGCAAAGCCTTTGCTTTGGTCACTTCTGGCTTTCAGACTATTTTTCTCATAGCCAGCAGCATTCCTCAAAGGTCCATGCTGCACTGAATGTTTAGATACTCCATCTTCAGGCAGCGTTCTTCTGCCATGATAGTGAGCAGGAGGCTGCAAGGCTGCAGCCGGAAGGGGCTGCACGATTCCAGGTTTAGATCTGAGCTCTGCAGAGCTCAGAGCTTGGGACAATCTCTGTTCCTCATTCAGAGGAGGCAAAGGAAGGGGCAACGTGACCGTCATTATAAAAACCATGAGAAGGAGGAGGATGAGGGCAGAAAGGAGGAGAATCCCTTTTTGACCAGAGCAGAGTTTCAACCACAGTTGCCAGTT